GCGCGAGGGGGGGCGGGGCGGGGGCGGGGCGGGGCGGGGCAGGGGGGAAGGGGCTGCGGCCCAGGCCCAGGCCCGGCGGTCACGGGACTGGGAAGATGGCGGTCTTCCACTGGTAAGAGAGGGTGCCGGTGGGCTTGCGGGAGGGCTGCCCTTAGCTGTCGCCGGTGTCTGCCGGTGCGAGTGCAGTCTGTCTTTCCTGATGGGGTCCAGCACTTCCCACCCCACGGGACCAGTGAGGACCACAGACTCCCCGGTGGCTCTCGCCGTCCAGCCTGAAGCCAGTCCGGGGCAGTCCCGTTCTCGGTCCACCTTCCCTTTCCCTGCTCATCCCCTAAGCAAGGCCCTTTCCCGGCCTTCCGCCTTCCTGGGAGGGGTTGCGTGGGTCCCCGGGGCTCTACTGCATCTGAACGACTGGGGCTGCTGCGTCCCGGAGCGATGAGGTCCCTTGGAGCTGCGGACGGCTTCTGGGAGGAGGCGTCTTCAACTGGGTCCTGCAGGAGGTGTAGGAGTTCAGCAAACAGGAAGGAATAGCGAGTTCCGGGGTCGTGATCGTGGGAGGATCAGGGGATCTTGAGACCCCCGCGCATCGCAGAAAAGGGAGCTCATCTCCTGACCTTCCTCCTGCTGTGGAGTGAAGTAGCTTCCCTTACGCGAGGGCTGGGCAATGGAAGAGTGTGCAGCCCGGGGCCTTAAGACCGCCTGGCACAACCTTCTGGTGTCATGCTTGATAGCAGTGTTTTCTCACTCACACCCCCTTCACCGGCTGACTCCCCCAGGCTAAATCAACACTGGAAGCCGGTGGGCGTCACCGTGCCCTGAGCCCTGAAGGTGCTGTCTTCCTGAGAGGCCCAGCCAGAGCCTAGGAAGACAGAAATACCCAGACCTGAGAAATGGCTGGTTTCCCTGAACTCATCTGGAATTTGTAACGGGAGAATTCAGGGAGAAGCTGTCTTTGTCCTCATCTCAGGACATTTTTACCTTTGGTATTTTAAGTTTAAATCACCCTGTAAGGGTCGAGGGTTTCCATAGTTCCTAATCTGGCTGGGCTTTATGTCTCAGTAAGGTTGGTATGTCCACGTGTCTGTCAGGTTGCCACTGAGTTGTCACTGTTAGGCGTCCTTGTCTTTCCTGTGCCCAGGACAGCGCTTGTAGATGTTCAGTGATCTCTACAAAGGAATGAGGAAACCAGGGCGTCCCCAGAGAAGTGTTTCTGTGCCCAGACTTCTACTCTTCAAGCCCCTATTTTGTGCCAGGCACCGTGTATCTCATTTAAACCTCGGGACTTCATTTTCACAAAGGGAGAAGCATTTCACCTAAGACGAAGCGTTTGAGGCATGCAGGCCCCCAGGTGAGTCTGGAAGCCAGAGCCTAGGATGGTAGTCATTGTTAGCTGGGCCTCGTATCTAAATTGTGGCTGTTTCTGGGTTGCAGGGCCCCCAAAGTGCCACTGCACAGTTGTTGCTCTCCCCCAGAGGGCCTTGTTTTACCCACATCTTACCTCTGCTACATGTTGGCCTGGCCCAAGATAGCAAATACCCTGTAGACCGGTGACTGCAGCTCCAAACCCGCTTATTTATCGCCGAGTGCCCACCCTGCAGTTGAACCTGAACACTGAGGATTTAGTTTAGAAAAAACTCCTACAATAGCATCTTTTGTCTTAAAAGCAGCACACCTGCTGCAGGTCTGCACCCCCCCCACCACTGCTGGAGACCCACGGTCACCCTTACTGCTTGGTCCCTTGGAGATAAAAGCACCACCCTTTCCAGTCCTGCACAGCTTGCAGAGTCGGGGAGTGTGGGATTGGGAATGATAGGATTGTGGGAGGAAAGGTGCGTGGTCAGATTATCTGATTGGTGAGTAAGAAAAACACGTGAGAATTAAAATGGCCGGCAAGGAGCATGTGGTCCGTTTTGGTACTTACGTTATAAGGAGATTACTGTGGTAAATCCAGTTTTCTGTACCTGTTTTACCAAAGGTGAATAATTCCTTTCAAGCAAGAAGTTGTCAGTGTTCAATACGTGTGTGTGTGTGTGTGTGTGTGTGTGTATTTATTTATTGAAGGCACCAGGGATCGAACTCGGGACCTTTCGAGGCAGGCGCAGTGACACGGAGCTAAAGCCCTAGCCCTGTCATATGTATTTAAACCACCTTGTTTTCTGATGTGTGGGCCACACAAGTGGCCCAGGCCTAGACCCAGGCAGCAGTGGACGTGTGAAGCAATGGCCTTTTTTTCAGGAGCAGCTGCCAAGGAGCAAAGAGCCTTGCTGCAGATGGTTGTGATGTCAGGGATTTTTATCAGCTGCCAGCTTCCTCTGGCTTCTTGAGAGAATTCCTGCACCTTCCCAAAGACCCGGGGCTTTCTACAGGACAGCGCTTGAGCATCTCTGGCTAGAAAATGCTAGGAGCAGGAGCAGGGCAAAGATTTGAAGAAATAATGGAAGAAGTGGTACAAAATGAAAATACTGTGATTGTCCATGGGCACTCATACAGTGAAAACTTTGTCCGTACCTTTTGAAAAAAAGAAAAAGCTTCATTTCCAAAAGCGGTCCTCTCCCCACATTATCAGCTTTTTTCTTTTTTTACAAGCATCGATTGAACTTGGGACCCTGCCCTTCTAGGCAGGAAGCCAAATTACTGAGCTAAATCTCTGGCCCTTTCAGCTTTTGAGACATACTCATTCTAGAGCTTGATCTTTTTAAGAAAAGTAGACAATTGCTTAGTTTTTAAAGTTCCTAAGATAATGTATAATCTACAGGTAATGAACCTGTCCCGGTGACTTGGTCTAACCTTTGACAAGTTACCAAGAGTAACCGTCCTCGCTCTTGCATCTGCAAAATGGGTGTAAATGTGGTACCCACCCCACAGGCAGAGCGAGGCATAGAGGGAGGGGGTCCTGTGTGGAGTAAGTGTGAGAACTGTGACGTGATCGCTGCGCATGGACTCTGTTCGGGTGTAGCAGATTTTTCTCAGCTCTCGATTGATTTGTTTATGGTTAAGATATGATGTATTTGTGACTGAATTTCAGGTCATATTAATTTTCCTACTCGTTCTAGTTACCTTTCAAAGTTCTGTTTTCTTGACACCCAATAAAGAGATTTGAAAGAGAAGTGTAATTTGATGTTTTGAACTCCATCTTGACTGTTGATGTCTATGATTCAAACGTGTCTGTCCCTCAGAGTTTGTTTTTTGAGACCAGGTTCTCACTGTGTACCCAGGTTGGTCTTTTGTTTTTCTGTCTTTCTTTTTCGTCTTTTTATTTTTGGTACCAGCGACCCAACTCAGGTCTTTGGGCTTGCGAGGCAGGCAGTGAATCCCCTGAACTAAATCGCCAGCGTCCAGGTTGGTCTCTGAACTTGCTGTGTAGCCCAGGCTGGCCTCCCTGCTAGTGCTGGGATTACGGGGTGTGCCTCACACCCGACTATTATTTGTTGTAGGAGTCAGGGCTTGGCTGATAGCACCCTCGATCAGGAGAGGGTCCGGGAGAACACTGCACAGGTGCTTTCATCTGCCGGGTTTTGCAGGGTGAAGACAGGGTGTGTACCTCGTAAAGGTGATGAAGAAGGACTGGCAGTATTTAGGCCTTTTCCCTGCAGAAAAGCAGAAGTCGGCTGTGAAGCAACCTTCCGGTCCTCTGCTCAAAGCCAGATTTACTTAGGGACAGAAATTACCTGCTGGGGCTCCGGGTTGGTGGGGGATTTCGGGTAAAGCTGAGCGTGAATCTGCGAATGGGGCAGGGAGTGAACTCCAGGGACTGGAGATAAGACAGTTCCTCCGATTTTGAATCTTTTTTTTTTTTCCACGAAGCAGAGACAGGGCTTGTCCCAGGTGCCCAGAAGAGCTTTCTTTTCTGGAATGTGATGTTTTACAAATAGGAAATGCCCATGTCTTTGGCTAAAGAAAAAAAGAAATATGCCATTTGTTTAAAAACCACCAGGCAGCATACCTATAATCCCCACACCCCAGGGAGGCCGGGGCAGGAAGATCTCAAGTTAAGCCCAGCCTGGGCAGTTTAGAGAGTCCTTGTCTCAAAATGAAAGTTTCAAAAGGGCTGGACCTAATATAGCTCCGGGCCAACGCTGGAGCTTCTGTCTCTAGTACTGCAAGACAACAAAAATGACATCAATTGGACTGCAGATAGGTAGAGTAGAACCGTGGGGTTTGCAGTGGGGGAGAGAGATTGAGCTGCGCTGCAGGTGCGGTAAGGTTAAGCAGAATGTACAGCCCAGGCGGGGTGGTGGTCAGAGGGCCTGAAACCACCTAGAGGAGACAGGCGCTGGGCCCTCCCACGTAACCAGGAGGGAGGCTGAGTGACCTGGTACCGGGGGAGGAGCTTTTGGGGAAAGTTTCCCCAGCTTCCCCTTCAGATGCTGCTGCTTTCTGCCTGTCTTTCTCTCCCCCACTTGGGGCTTCCTGGTCTGTGTGTGGGGCCTTTGCTCTGAGCGCCCCCAAGTGCTGGAGATCCCTCTTGTGCCTTCCTCTCGAGGCCTCCTCCTGGCCGCTTCATCCCTTGATTTTCCATCTCTCGGATCCTTCCTCTCGCTGACCCCTCTGCGCTGATGACATCTCTCTCTGCCCTTCGTCTCCCTTCTGCTGTGCTTCTTGCTCAGCTCTTTGCGGGCAGAACTGCCTTGTATTTTCTGTGTTGCTCCGTCTTCCGCAGCTCTTCCTTCAACCTCTGGCTGTTGTTCTTTTTTTTTTTTTTTTCCTTCCTTCCTTCTTTCCTTCCTGTTTGGAGGAATTGAACTTGTAACCTTTTGCACCAGGGTTCATGCCCAGCCTCTCCCCTATTTTAAAATGTATCTTTTTGAGTCAGGTTCACTTTAAGTTGGGGAGGCCTGGGCTTGTGCTCCTCCCTCAGCCTCTCCCAGAGCTAAGGTTGCAGGTTGTATTGCTGGCAGGTGCCACACCCCTGGCTGCTGGCTGTCTGGAAACCCTGGGTTGTGTGCCTGTCCAGCTATGAGATTTCCTCCAACCACTGAGGCTGCCCTGCCTCTCTGCAGTCCCCCGCTGCTGGCCTGAACTCTTTTCCCAGGCCAAGAACCAGCAAGTGCCCTGGAGGAGCAGCTTCCCCGAAGAGCTGGACTCAACTTCCGGAAGCCATGGGTTCTGGGTTCTGGGTATGGCCTTGCCAGGCGGTGAAACCTTAAACAGATCAGAATAAATTCTTGTAAAACGCAGAGTTTCTTCGCCGTCTCAGGAACAGTATGGGCCCTCAGTGTTTGAGCCCTGGTCACCTGACCTGCGTGTGTTTGCTGTCTGCCACAGGCACTCCAGGCACAGGAACTACAAGGCTGAGATTGCGTCCTGCCGGCTAGAGGCCGCGCCGCTGGAGTTCGGGGACTACCACCCACTGAAGCCCATCACGGTGAGTGTGCTGCGGGTGTCCGGAGCCTGTGGCCTGGCACGCACGGCCTGGGTCTTTCCTGAGGAAGGACAGCCACATCCTTAGCTCTTTTCTATTGTGCTAGTGGCCGCTGCTGTTGTGTATTTGAACCCAGCAGCTTGCTCTGGCCCCCCGTCACCACTGTCTTGCCTTCCCTTCCCTTCCCTTCCCTTCCCTTAGTAATGAGGTCGCCCTGGGAAGCGGTGACCCACGGTTCCTGACGTGGACGTGTTGGCAGAGTCTACCTTGCTTCATTTTTCTCCTTGGGTTATGAAGAATCACTTCATTTACGAGAGGGAGGCACTGTCCTGAGAAGCGTCTTAGATGCTGTGTCTCAAAAACAGAAGCAGGCCAGAGCCCCGCCTGGCCCCTCTCTGGGTTAGCACTCTGCTTAGCACGGCAGTTGTCCCCTGTCCGTGGGAATCGTGCAAGCTTGGTTCCAGGAGCTCAGGCCTCTGTGACTCTGGACTCTGCAGTTCTCTTGTCCCTCCTGGCCGTGCCACAGCCTGTGCACTGTGTCCCCTCTGGGTTGCTTATACCAAACACCAGGCACACGGCCCTCAGTCACTGTCGTACTGTTTCCTTAGGGAATAACCACAAGGAAAGATGCCTACATGTTCAGGGCGAGCACAGTTGTCGTACTGCATGTTTGTTGGGGACGCTTGGATAGAGAGACCCTACCAAGAATACCGCTGCTAGCCAGGCACGGTGGCACGCGCCTGGAACCCCAGCACTCCGGGAGGCTGAGGGAGGAGGGTTCGGGTTTGAGCATAGCCTGGACTTCAACAACATAGTGAGACAAAAGTTCCAAAAAATGTTTCTAACGGGTGGGGGATGTCGCTGTGTGTGACAGCCCTGGCTGGGTTCAATGCCTAGGACTGCAAAGAGATAGAAATACAATAAAAAGCCCACACTGACGCATGTCTAGGGTGGTCGTTCTGGGCTGGATGGAACCCGAGGGTTTCTGTCACTGCAGAGGAAGAAGTCACTTTGGTTTGTAAGCTCTCAGTGCTTCTGCCCTCAGCCCTGTGGGCTTTGCCTGCACCCTCGGCGACCCCCGCCCCTCCTGACGGAAGGGCTTCCTTCAGTTAGGTTCTGGTGCCTATGGCCCAGCGTCATCCTGTCCGCTCACAGTCCCCACACTGCACCCCTGTGACACCCCTGGCGACCGACAGTTCTCCAGCAGACACCAGCCTGGCGTCCCCGGCTTCACTTCCTTCTGACACTTTACCCGCAGGTCTCCTCAACCCCCCTCCTCCCCGGCCTGCAGCTCGGCCCCACGGACCGCCCCCTTCTCAGACACCAGGCAGGTTGTGGCCTGTGCCTCTGCCCTGCTGGCTGTGCACTGGTGTCCCACGGGTTAATTTTCCAGGACTGGTGGCAGCCCTCAGGGAAGTGCTCTCTAGAAGTTTCCAGTTTGTAGTAAAGGACGTTGCATAGAGTAGGGTACCTGGTGAGGTGTGGGGGACGTTCTCCTGCCCTCGCTAGCTCCCCTGCCGTACCTCACGGAGTCCTGTTGGCCAGCCCAGCGATCTCTAAAGCCTGTCTTTTAGGAACCTTCATGAGGGCTTTGCCAGTCCCCACCGTGGATTAGTAACCCAGTCCCTAGCACTCTCCCCGCCCTGGAGGATGGGGGAGGCTGGAAGTTTTCACCGACTCAGGGCTCGGTCTTCCCTGATGACCACGAGAGTCTTGTTAGAAGAATATGCTCCTGTCACCCAGGAATTCCCAGAGGCGCAGACCCAGTGCGATACACGCGTACCTGTTACTGTCACCTTCTAAATCATAAGGGCCCCATGTCTTCCATCTGCTAAAAGAGGAACTTAGATACGCTAACGTCTTAATGAGTTTGCTGGAGCCTTGGGTGATTCATGAATGGAGCAGCTCCAGACCACCGGTGGGTTCAGGGTCCAGTGAGGACAGCTGCTGGGAATAGCACTGTGAGCTGTTCTTGGAAACCAGACCCAGAAAATATCTGATTGGTGAGAATGGACATCTGCCAGGTAGAGGGTAATTGGCCATTTGTGGCTGGTGATCTCCAGGTAGAAGGTAGTTGACAGTTTCTGATTGGTGAAGTGAAAGCTTTGCTTTCCTGTGCAGAGTGGGCTATGTTCTGGGTTCATTTCTGTACCTGGAAGCCCAAGGTTCTGGTGCCTCCTCAGCCCAACAGCCTCGCTAACCCTAACCTGCTGCCTTGTTTTCCTTGACAGCTGTGATGCTGAGTCTTATCAGTCAGTCACCAACATAAGCATCCCCTGCAGATTGATAAGCCTCTGCTACTAGCCAGTGGCCGGCCCCACCTTCGGAAGGGTCGGAAGGGACCCTGCCGGGTGTCCCACTGGGGAGGGTCACAGCAGAGCTGCACTGTGCTGCTACACGTTGTCCCCGCAGGTCACAGAATCAAAGACAAAGAAAGTAAGCCGGAAAGGAAGCACCTCTTCCACGTCGTCGTCTTCTTCCAGCTCTGTGGTGGACCCGCTGAGCAGTGTCCTCGATGGAACGGACCCACTTTCCATGTTTGCAGCCACTGCTGACCCCGCAGCTGTGGCAGCAGCCACGGTAAAAGGCCCCAGGGCCCATCAGCCACTCGGGGGGTCTGGGTGTGCGGGTGCAGGGTGGGTGGACTTCTGCACCTCACTGCTGCTGAGCTTGTGCACTGAACAACAATCCAGTCACCACCGGCTCCTCTGATTCAAGCAGTTCAGGTCCCCCAGACATCCAAGGCGTTCTGCTTCAAGTGGAAGGTGTTGGGCTGCAAGAGGCTGCTGGAGGTCCCGGAGTTTTTTTCTCCTCGATCGCAAGTGTTACAATGTATTGTTTTTAAAAACTTAGCTGTGCTAGGGATGGAATTCAGGGCCTTGCCTGTGCTAGGCAGGTATTGTACCTGTGAGCTCCACTGCCCACCCTTATTTCATTTTTATACTTCATTCTTTTTACATGGTTACCCCAGCATTTGCTTTGCAGGCAGTCGCACCCTGGGGACGCAGGCCTGCCTCCCTGCTCCCTGCGTTACACCCTCCACCCAGAGGTCGTCCATGCTGTGAGGACGCTGGATGCCTCCGGAGCCAGGCGTTTTCCTAGGCATCTAGGACGGTGACTTGTGACGGCGTCCATTCGTACTCCTATGTAAACGCTAACAGAAATAACAGTGAAAGTTAAGAATCCCCGTCAGCTTCCCTCATGGCAGGCATCTTGTGGAGTACATTTCCTGTTGGATTCTTGTGCAGCGTGCTCTGTGAGAGAAATCCCAGCCCTCATGTGCAGAGGGACCAGGCTGGGGGGTGGGGAGCAGGGTCACCACCAAGCGGAGGTTCAGTCCCAGCCCCTGGAGCTACAGAGTCCGCACGCTCAACCTTCATTCCATGCTGGATCTGTCTGGCTTGTTTTCTGACACATTCGGGACAGGGTACCCATTCGTACACTTGCTGCCGGAAGGTGTGATTTAAATTTAAATTCTGTTGTTCTTGCCGGCTGAACCACCGCTGGCCCATGCCTGCCTGCCCGCCCCTCCAGCGGCCTGTACCACCTCTTAGGGGGTCCTGGGCCACAGTGACTGAAGGGAAGAAAGGTCTTGACTCAGCAGACCAGAAGTCATCAGAGTACAGTCCCTTCAGGCAAACATTAAGGTGCTATGGAAAATTGTGGTACAGCCCTTGTAAGGTTTCCACGTTAAAATTCAGAGAATTATCGATAAGCTCTTCATGAATGTAAATTTCTTCTAATCGAATGAAATGCATTGACTTTTGTAATTCTTTAACTGGTACGAATAATGTTTATTTGGGGGCAGTGATGAATCCCATTCAAGAAACTAGGTGCGGGCCATTTATAAACTTTTTGTTAGTTTTCTTGATAAAAAGACTGATGCGATTGCTTAGGTTCCTTTGCACCACAAGTGAGTACAAGGCGCCCAACGGGACGGTGATGTGGGAGCCACCCCGCAGTAGTTCCAGTCAGCCAGAGCGTGTTAAGCATAAATGGGAGTATTTTCTGTGACTTTGTTCTTACTAGACCGCATGTCCTGGAGAAGTTTGCCTTTGGATCCCGACTAGAACTGAGTGGCTGCGCGGTATTCGAAAGGGCGGGTGTGCGCACGCTCTGCTTCCCCCTTCCCGCGCTGCTGGGTCCTGGGTGGCTCTGAGTGCTGCTGGTGTCAGCAGCAGTGCCCAGGCCTCCTGCACGCACCCTCTCGGTGTGGGTAGGTGAGGGGCTCTGCAGGGAGTGTGTAGAAGCCCATCGCCGGGGGAGACGTGTGTGGGAAGGTCCTGACGGTCTTCTGTGGAGGCCGTACTGCTCTGTGCTCCTAGCAGCAGTGTGGAGGCTTCCTTTTTCCTTTAGCCCGGATGTTAGCAATCATTGTAACTCTGCCATTCAGAGACTTTAAAAAGGGCCCTTTTCAGTTTACCAGGGCTTGGTTCTTCCTTAGCATCCACGTCGTTGGTATGTTTCTCGGTCATTTGTGAGTAAACTACTCAAGTTGTTTTTTCGTAGTAAACCTTTAGACGGACTGACTTTCTTCTTCAGACGGGGACTCTTTAAAATCTGTAATAGAAAAACAAAACAAAACAAAAGTGCAATGGACTCTGAAAACGTGGTTTCGCCTTCCTTAGGAGAGCTCCAGAAAGAAACGCAACGGAGATGACAACTCCATCGTAGGATCTGATTTTGAGCCTTGGGCCAACAAGCGGGGAGAGATCCTTGCCCGGTACACAACTACGGAGAAGCTGTCCATTGTGAGTGCCGGGGTGATCTCTGCTGTCCCGCTGTCCAGCTCCCGGGCTCTGTCTCAGTGTCTCTTCATATGTCAGTGTCATCGGGAGAAAATGTGCTGGTTTGTAGCTTGAAAGAAAGTGAAGGATGAAGGAGGTGGCACAGTTGACAGAAAGCATTGGGGTGGTGGAGCCCGGGAGAGGGGGGGCAGTTGAGGTGCACATCGGGGAGCCCCCTGTCCAGCACCGGGCGCTGCTCTGTGAGCCCCTGTTCCTAGGCTTCCTCCGGGAGCTGGAAGCTTGCTCTCTTGGGGCCGACCCCTAGCTGAAGTTGGTGGCTTAGCGGGCGTGCGCGTCCAGTAGGAGGCCCACCTCCCACCTGGCAGCTGCTCAAGTTCCAGAGAGGTGAGGAGAGTGGGATCCATCCCGTGCCAGCTGGTTTAATGCTGCTGTTAGTTCGGGCTCGGTCCAGTTGCTTCGATCCAAGTCCTCCCCAACAGTGGCGGCAAGAGTGCCACGTGGCTCTCCTTGGTCTGAGGGGAGTCCAGCGGTGGGGCTGGAGCGGAAGTGCCAAGGTCATCGAGGTTCGGGCTCTTCTGTCTTGCTGCTCTCTCTGTGTGTCTTTAGTGCTGCCCCATGGCCAAGTCGATAGAGAAGGAAAGAAAAAGCAACGTCGCCCCTCCCATTCAAGCCAGCCACCTGGAGTCCCTTCACCACTCACAGTGAAACTGTCCTGAGGGTGGTTGCGGGTGACATGGTGTGGGGGAGGCAGGGAGGTGAGACGTGGCTCCATCTTCTCATGAGGAGAACAGCACAATTCTGAGCACAATTCCCTGAGCATCAGGAGCACAGCACAGTTGCTGGGCTGTCGAGATTTTCTCTGAAAGCACCAAGTTAATTCAGGGCTCACTTACTCAGCCCGTAGTAACGTTATCCCCAGGGGTCATTTGGAAACATCTCCAGACATCTTTAGTGGTCGCACCTGTGGGGTGTCCACAAAGCCTCATCCAGCCCAACGTGGCAGGACTATAGAGGGTGAGAAGCGAAGATCCAGAGGAGCTAAAAAATAGTTCTGTGAGATGATTCTGCTCTCGCATGAGAATGTTTGGGAGTTATTGCCCGAATTGAGTAGAAGTTGAATGAATCTCCAGCATTTGGTAATGACCCCCATTTGGCTGCTTTGAGGATATCTTTCAGTGTTTGATTTGCGGGAATGCGGTGGCTGTGTTGCCTTGGCTTTTTCGAATACTAATGAATTCTTTGTCTTTGCAGAATCTTTTCATGGGATCTGAAAAAGGTAAGATAGGACTTTTGTTGTTTTGACGGGAAAATTGTGCCACTGCCTCGAATCCAACTTTTCAGAGACAAAGTTGGTGTAATGCAGGATTCAGATGCGTCCTTGAATAGACCAGGAAAAGAGCGGGAGGTTACCCGGGGTGTGAGATAGGCTTCCAACTTGGTGCTAGCATGGCGGAGCATGAGACCCTCACTCGGCTCGAGCCCAGCTTCACAGAGCCACTCTTTCCTTGGCGGTAAGTCGCTGTCTCTTGTGGCAGTGCCGATGTGCCGGTTCCGGGGACACATTCCCCAGTCAGTCTGTGGACGTAGTGCCCTCAGTTGCTGCTCGACAGACCCCCAGTCCAAAAGCGGTGTGTCCGGGGCCCGTGGGAACCTTTGGTGTAGATGCAGAACACCGGTGCCGCTTGATGAGGTGGTTTGACGGGATGGAACTCTGGAGTTTCTTTCTTGAAGCTCCCGGGAGGTCCTAGAGCAACCAAGAGTGACCACACTGCCTGTCTGGTGACTGTGGCTGAGATCCTTGTGTGGGTGGCTGATGTGGCATTGCAGCTGCACCCACCACAATTTCCCCTCAACCCACGCAGGTGGAATCGGCTCAGTGGAAACCAAGAGCAGGGGGACCTTTGCCATAGGGGTCTCTCTGCGGCCCCAAAGCATGTCATCACACCGGTTAGGAGAGGGAAATAGATGGAGGACGCTGAGCCCCAGGGAAGGTGTAGAGCGACGGCGAGCACTCACACCCTGCCAGTGCCGTGGGGACCTAGGCAGCAAGTACTTGTGACGTGCTCTGCGATGTTGGTCGCACCTGAAGATGGGTACAGTGGCCTCATGCTTGTGTCCCCTCCCCCAAAACTCATGTTAAAATCCCAAGTCCTGAGGGGATGGTCAGGAACTGGTGTCTCCGGGCAGACGGTGAGGTCAGAAATGAATGGAATTAGCGCCCTTATGGAAGAGGCCCAAGACCTGGCCCCTGCCTTCCACTGTGGGGAGCACAGCAACAAGGTGCCACCTGTGAGGTAGAAAGTGGGTCTGCTCCACATGCCGAATCTGCTGGAGCCTTGCTCTTGAATTTCCCTGGTCGTAGCACTGTGGAACATTGGTTTCTGTCTTTTTGTAAACTACTTAGATCATGGTTTAACAGTGTGAAGGGATTAAGACAGTGGGCCTGCGATCCCATCACTCTTGGAGCCTGAGACAGGAGGATTGCAAGTTGGAGCCCAGCTTGGGCAGTTGAGTGAAACCTTGTCCCCAAAAGGCTTGGGATTGCAGCTCAGTGTGAAGGTCCTGGTGTGAAGGGATTAAGACAGTGGGCCTGCGATCCCATCACTCTTGGAGCCTGAGACAGGAGGATTGGAAGTTGGAGCCCAGCTTGGGCAGTTGAGTGAAACCTTGTCCCCAAAAGGCCTTGGGATTGCAGCTCAGTGTGAAGGTCCTGAGTTCAGTGCCCAGGACTTGTCCCCGCAGAATGGGCCAACCCCTTGCTCCAGCAGTCACGGATCTGTGGATTGATCTACCGCTGAGCTGTGTTGCCACCCGTTTCTGTTCTTTTTCATCTCAGAACATGACCTCACTTAATTACCCAGGGATTGTATGTATTCACTACCTCGCCCAGCTATCGTTGCATTAAAACATAGCTCTGAGCTAGGGATTTATCTCAGTGGTACCTCTGCCTGCCTGGAAAGCACAAGGTCCTGAGTTCCATCCCTAGCACCAAAAAAACCAACAAACAAACAAGACCAACAAACAACCACCAAAAGAAACCGTAGCCCTCATGAATTGTTTATGTATTTGTCTATGCCTGCTTCTGTGCTGCAGTGACAGAGCTGAGTAGTTGTTACAGTGTGTGTGTGATTTGAAAAATCTACAGTGTCTGTATCAGGCTTTTAACAGAAACGGTTTTCCAACCGTGCCTTAGATCCATATTTTAAAATTAGGGCCCATGGGTTAGCGGCACTGACTTCACCCAGGAAGGGGTTCATCAGGAATACAGATTTTCCTCAGGTGTAGTCCCAAGTGAAGCAGGGAGATCCCACGTCCAAGGGGCAGGTTAGTAAGTCACTGTCTCAGAAAGAATTGGGGATGTAGTTCAGGGGTGGGGCACTTGCCCCACAGGTGTGAACCCCTGTGTTCAGTCTGTAGCACAGGGGGGATGATAAGGAAAGAAAGTAAAACTGTGAAGACTCTGACCCTGCTGGAGACCTGCTGGATCAGAATCTGCATTTGAGCTCATCCTTAAGTGGCGGATATAAAGCACTGCCCTACAGACATTCCTGGCGGTGTGAACCCAGAGGGGGTGGTGACATTGTTAACGACCCAAACGGGAAACAACCCCCGTTTACACCATGGGCTGTAGGATGAACTAAATTGTGGTATTTACAGAAAGGAAAGGGAAAGTGAGCAGGGAAATGGAGTTAGTCGCAGCTCTGTGCCAGAACGTGGGTAAACTGCATGAACCAAAGGTATGGCGAACCAGAACAAGACCATGCGTGACCTAGTGGTGGTTACAGAGGTTTTGTGATCACCTGTTCAACGTGTGTGTACCTATTTTCCACGTGTCATATTTTAAGAGGAAAGAAAATACCGAAACAAAGTAAAATAGGCAAATTAGGAGTCTTCGGTACTGGTGCAGCTTTGGAATTACATTATTTCACCGTGCAGTGAGCTGAGCAACTTGTGAGCCTGCAGCAGAGCTGAGAAAGTAGTGCTTTGACAGAATAAACTTCAGTTCCAAAGGGTGGGGTTGTGTATCAGCCTACATCCCTGTGACAGGGTGCCTGAGAGAATCACTTGAAAAAGAGGAAAGGTGTATTTTGATGCACAGTTTTGGAGAATTCAGTCCATACATAGTGCCTTGATCCCATGATTTGGGCCTTTGGTGGCACGGTGTGTTATGGTGGGCAGACAGCGGAAGAGGCCTGTTGGTCTCAGGGTGGCAGGAGGCAGAGTGGGAAGAGGAGACCCTGTGCTGTCCCCCTTGAGGATGCACCCCCAGTGACGTGCCTCCCTTCCGCGAGGGCCCACCATCTCCCAGTAGCACTATGCGTGAGCGCCAGGCCTGCAACCCCTGGAGCTTTGGGGACATCCAAGATCCAAAGTGGGGCTGCGTGGTGGGGAGGAGCAAGCAGTCACTGGGAGCCGTGTGGACCTGGGAGCAAGAGTGGAACTCCCCTGAAGAGGGGGAAAGGATTCTGGACCGGTCACCTCGCCCTGTGGCTGGACCACGGGCTGGAATCTTTCCTTCCTTCTCGCCGTTCCCTGCTGATAGCCAGACTCTGTCAAGAGGTGCTGCGGGGGAAGCACAGTGAGTGCTCCTTGTTTGAAGGGAGGGCTTCGAAGACCCCGCCCATCCGTGGGCAGACAGTGAGGCCCTTCTGGTGTTAGTGGTTGGGAGTGTGAGGGCAGGACAGTTCGTGCGGTGTGCCAGCCCGAGATCGCCTTTGTTCTTGGCGAACAGTGAAGTGGCTGGACTTCCGGCACCCTTCTCCTGACTGCCTTTCTTTGTGAGTAAACACACAGAATGAAATCTCGTAAACATCGCACGTGGCAGTTCACCTTTTGTAGGTGGCCCCCGAGTCTCCAGGACAGCTGCCCCGGGGAAGATGTTTTTCATGGAACTTAGGTTGCCCAAGGAAGTAGCCCGCAAAAACCTCAAGAGCTTTCTTTCTGTAAGAAAACGTCTCCCGCATCTTTCTTCATGATGAGATGCAGAAGAAAAGATAGTTTCTGTGAGGGCTGTTAGTGCAAGAGAAAAGCCTGTGTGTAACAGAAATCCATTCTCTAGGCAGAACTGGGACCGCCACTTCCGCAATGTCAGAGAAAGTCCGGACACGGTTGGAAGAGCTGGACGACTTTGAGGAGGTGAGCAGGTCGCACGCTGAGTGCAGGCTGGGGGACTTTCCATTCCCCTGGCCAGGGCAGACGTCTGGGTGGCTGCGCTTCGATTACATCTCGGGCCGAAGGGCCGTACTTGGGCCTCCTGAGGCTCTGACTCAGTCCAGGGAAAATGCCCGCAGCTAAGCACACTTGTTTGAGCACAGGGGAGCCTGCCTGGGTGGGTTTTCTGGAGGTATCTTTTTTCTCTGCGGCCTGAACAAGCCCGGGTTATCTGGGGACAGTGTGAGGCAGTAAGAACCAGCTGGATCCCCTCCCTGGGAGCTTCCGGATGGAGCAAAGACTGCACCGTGCTGCAGTTTTGCATGTGGGTTTGCAGTCTGCCTGCTGTTGATCAGCCTGCCCATGCTTTGGAAAAAGGAAACACAATGTGCTGTGTCCCCAAGGGTCCTCACAGATTCCTGCCTCCTTGGGAAGAATTCTAGCTGACAGCCGTGGGCCGGGTCTCGCACCAGGCAAGGCAGACTGGGAGGTGGCCACAGACCTCCCTGTCCTGATGTGCTGTGTACTGGCCCTGGGCACAGGTGTCCTTTTGAGAGACAGCTTAGCGTGGCGGGGGTCACATCGTATTCTAGCCACACTGCCTGGGTTTGAATCCCAGATCTGCCATTTAGAAGTTCTTTGACTTTGGAGCAGGAGTCTCACTGCTCTGGGCCTCAGCTTATTTATCTGTAATGTGGGGATGAGCAGTTCCTACCCGTAAGACTGGTGTGGGTTCAGTGAGTTAATTTACATGAAGGGCTCCGCAGGACACCCAGAGTGCGCTCATGCTCTGTGTGTGTTGGCTGCTGTCACCGTAGTTACCCTGAGCTGTGGCCATGGCTGGGTTCCTACTATCAGGGTGACCTTGGGTGTCTACCTGTTCTGTACCTTTATTTCTTCATTTATAAGATAAAAGACCTGGGGGTGGGGGTGGGGAGCTGTCACCTGTAATCCCAGTACTCTGCGTGGCTGAGGCAAGAGGATTGCAAGTTTGAGCCCAGCCTGGGCAATTTAGCAAGACCCTCTCTCAACAGAACAAAACAACCCAAGCAAACAAACAGAAAACTGAGGCTGTCGCTCAACATGAAGTCCCTGGGTTCTATCTCTAGTATCATTTTAAAAAATGGGACAAAGAGCAGCTGTGTGGGTTCAGTGAGGGGCTATGAAAACTAGGAAGGGCTATGGCGCCCTCTGCTGGGAGGTGTGGGGTCCTCCCCGCTCTGACACAGAGCTGTTGTTGGGTGCTGGGCAGAGTCCAGTAGTCTTAGTTTTCATGTGCCTGTGCAGACTGGGCACACTTTAAATCTGGGTGTGAGAGCCTCAGTCTGCATGTCATCGGCCCAGCAGGCAGGAGCTTGCTGAGGGCCTCCACCAGAGCTCTGTAGTCCTCGGGTATCTGAGGTGGGGAGGAATGAGCGGCACCTCCCCCAAACCCGAGGCCAGGGTCGCCTGGCGCCGGGAACTGCGGTCGCCCAGAAACATGGCTCAGTCCTCTGCCCCTCAGTTCTAGTCCTTCGTGCTTCTCCTGCAGACTGGTTTCCTTGCTGCTCCTCCCTACTCACAGCAGCAGCTGCCCCAGGGCACCCCAGTTAGCAGGTCATCAGTCAGGATGGGGTAGGTCCCCCTGCGCATCGCATAGAGAAGCTTTATTTCTTGCTCTTGGTGCACGCTGGTGCAGGCACAGACACAGCACTGTGTGACAGTGCTGCCATCGCAGCACTTGTCTTCCACCGTTGTCACAGGTAAGGCCGAAGAGTAGGTGGGATTTTGCTGGCCGGAAGGGACACAAGACACTGTGCCCAATGTCTGTTCACCAAACTGGCTGGCTCCTCGGCTGCCCGGAGGCCGGGAAGTCCTTGCCTCACAGGTCAGGTGACCCATTCTAGATTCCCCATACCCTTCTACTTTTGGCTTTCTAAAGAGCTCTCGCCTTTGGGGTCTGTGCCATGTGCCTTTGGGAAGGGCTTGGCATCCGCTCCCTGCCTGTGCGTATCTCTAGGAGTGGCGAGAGGAACAGCAGCCGCCCGGAACTTCTGGGCTCGGGCAGTCCTGTGACTGTTTCCTCCTGCAAAGCAGGGACCGCAGGTGGTGGCCACCATGCCCAGGTCCTCACAAGCAGCTGCCTTACCCCGTGCTGGTGGCCTCTGCCCTCAGCACTGTAAGCTTTGCCATGCAGAAAGAGAATCTTTCTGCCTGAGCGAGCACAGCCTCTGGTGCCGTGCAGGGTGCTCCGTCAGCCCCACTCCCTGCATGCTGGCTGATGGGAGCCCATCTGCTGGGAACCTGGAGACAGTGCTTTCCCATGTGGCAGAGCTGTGGTGACCTGGGTCTGACTTGTCCCCAAGACCAGCCTCTCAGCCTTGTCCCGCCGTCTCAGGCAGAGACCCACAGAGCCTCTGAGTGCAGGACGGAACTGTCGGTTCTGGTGGGGGGACGGGAGTGTGGCCGGTAACCGTGACCAAGCTGGGACCCCAAGTATGCTAGACAGTGTTTCCCTTTTCCTCCAGCGCTGTCACCTTCTGCCTTCCGCCTCCAGGGGTCCCAAAAGGAGCTGTTGAACTTGACGCAGCAGGATTATGTGAACCGCATAGAGGAGCTCAACCAGTCGCTCAAGGATGCCTGGGCCTCAGACCAGAAAGTGAAGGCCCTGAAGATTGTCATTCAGGTCAGGCCCGAATTTCCTATGTCAGACTCCCTGATTTGGGTTTTCCGAGACCTGCGTTTAGGATTTTGCCCTCGGTTTTTTCATCTCTCCCATTTTTGCCTATTTCCTCTGAAAGACCTTGCCTCTGAATTTAGTTTTTATGATCTGGCCGATCCCAGGGCTGCTGTGTGCAGTTGTGTGAGTCGTGCTGCCCATTTCCAGGAAGCTCTGGACTCCACATTGTGGAGTTAATGGTCCCCTGGGCTGTGCAGTTCCTTGGCTCTCCTACAACTGCTGACACATTTATGATCGGTACATGCTGAAGATGGAGCAGCGCTTTCAGGTTTCCTTGACCGGGTTGGCTTGCTGTCTTTGGGATTAATGGCGCGTGTCTCTGGTGTGTGTATTTTAAAGACATATTCCGCATGATTATGTGATGAAGAAAACATGTTTGTGGTATCAGGGGAAAGACTTTTCCCGGATTCTCTTTGTTGATGTCTTTATCCATCTTGGATCACAAGGGCAAGTCCTGTAAAGAAAGCAGCCTGTTTCTTGGCCCTGGAGATTATTCCGCCTTGGCAAAACACACTCAGAAGTCGTGTTCAGGGGTAAATCACGCATTGCCATTTTCAGAGCACATTTATAGGGTTTCTGGGTGGCTGTTCTAGTTCAGCCAGACAGACCTCACTCTGACCTGACATCATAACGAGGTGACTTTTGCCTTCTCGAGGTCTCTTGGGTGACATATCACAGGAGGGTTTGGGAGTCTTTGCACTGAACATCGGAAGGGTTTAAAGATGACTTCTTGTACGGCAGGGGTGATCCTCTTTGCAGTTTCATGCGGGGAGGCGAACCCAGACCATTTCTTCGCAGTCCCTGTTGTTCATTTACTGGGTAAACCTCAGAAGATGTCCCTGTCCTCTCACCTGCCTGCGAGGCTGCCTCCTGTCCTGCAGTCAGCCGCTCTCCAAATGGACCTGCGTGGCTGCCAAGTGTTTTCATTGGCAGCGTCTCCCGTAGGTACTTGGAGCTGTGACTGCTGAGGTTGACATCTGGAGAGGTTGGACTCAGGTCTTCTTGCACAATCACAAGCACGTTTGATGACTCCACAGCTGGCTGATGGTAACAATTCTGTAAGGCACAGACAAGGTGCAGAATCTGAGGAGCGAGCCTAGTGGGCCTTACTTGCTTTGCAGCAAAGAGTTTTTTGGGAGCAAAAGGAGAGTTTGGCAGCTTTGTACAAGGATATTTTACCCATCGAAAAGGCCATCCAAAGGAGGGGGGTGTGGCTCTGTCTAGTGTGTATGAGGTCCTGCGTTCCATCCCCAGCACCACAAAACACTCAGTGTAGCTGTGTGCTTTTTTATTTTTATTTTTTATTTTTTAGTAAATCAATAGAATTGTGCATCTGTCATACACTCTTGTGTGAGAATATTTTTATACTTCCCTAATTCCCTTGGGTCCGTTTGCAGTCATACCTAACTGCTTACCCCCCCACCGAGACCAAAGACCCTCTTTCTGAGGATAACTCTGCCATTCCTGGACATTTTGTATATAAGTTGTCATGTACAGTGATGCTGCAGTTAACAAACTTAATTTGTTCTTTGGTCTTTGAAAAGATGGCTGCATTTGTGTTTGTGTGAAAAAGATGGCTTGTGGTCGTGTTGGTTTCCCCATGAAGAGCTTCCCCCAAAAAACTGTTTAGGGACCATATTGTTTGCAAACAAAGGCATTCATGAATCGAGAGAACACCGAACTGTGTTCTTTGGTGTGTTGCTCCTTTTACTTAGCGTAATGTTTTTGAGGTTCAGCTATGCTGTATGATGTAGCAATACTTTTGTTCCTTTTTTCCTGCTAAGTAATATTCTGCCATATAAAGGAGTACATTTTGTGTGTCCACGAGTAAGTCGGTGGCCGTTGGGTGGTTTCTATTTTGTTGCTATTGTGAATAATGCTGTTGTGAATATTTGTCTACAGATGTTGGTGCGGACTTAGTTTTCAGTTCTCTGGGAAGAGTACCTAGGGTTGCTGGGGTCACCTGGTGAGGATATGTTTAAGTCATTGAGAAATTGCCAAACTGCTGTCTAGAAGCCACACGGTTTAGATTCTCAGCAGCAGTATGTGAGGGAGTCGGGTTCTCGTCCTCTCCAGTGCTCTCATCTCGCGGTTGTGAACATCCGGCCAGCACACCCTAGTTTTAATTTGCAGGGCCCTAGCAGTGACATGGAACGTCATCTTGGGTACCTGCTTGGCCATTGCAGAGCATCTTTACTTTAATGTCTTCCTAAGGACTGCCGGATTCTTAGATTGTTATCTTCTTGTTCATTGTTTTGTTCTGTCCTTGTGGTGCTGGGGATCAATCCCAGAGCCTCAGGCTTGTTCGGCAAAGCGTCCTGTCCCCGAGTCACATCCCAGCCTGTCTTCAAGTTGAATATATTCTTCGTATGTCCTTGTGTGTGTGTGCGCGTGCACAGGCACACACACTAGGAGTGGAAGCCAGGCCTTGTGCATGCTAGGCAAGTGCTCTACCCCTGAGCCACGCCCCAGCCCTTTTGATTTTGAGACAGCGTCTTGTTAAGTTGCCCTGCTTGGGCTTTTGATTGTGACCCAGCCAGCTCAGCTCTCCCGGAGTGTTGGCTGACAGGTGTGGCTCGTGCCCTTTATGTTCTTGATAGCAGTTCTTTATCGGTTGCAGGTATCGGTCGCTTAATGACAGGGATGTGTCCTGAGAAACGCATCCTTTGGCAGTTTTGTCATGGCAGAGCTTCGCAGTGTGCGTACAGAGACTTAAGGTGGCTACGACTGTCACCGGGTGGTGGGGCCCTAGGGGACCCCTGTTATATGACGATATATGACCTCTTGTGCTGCGGCTTCATTTTCATAACGGTAGCTTTTGAAGTGCAGAAGCTTTTATAATTGTCGTGAAATCTCACTTGTTAATTTTCACTTTTGCTGATACATTCAGGGTCAAATGTAAGAACTCTTTGGCTAAGCCAAGGTTATGAGGATTTTCTCCGTGTGTTTTTCTAGAAGTTTTACCGGATTGATGTTTACGCTTAGGCCCATGGTGTTTTGAGTTGGTTTTTGTGTGTGAGAGGAGGGTCCAAGGCAGTGGTGGAGAACCTACGGCACGTGGGCCACGGCGGGCTGTTCGTATTGAGAGCTCTGAAAGGTTCGCCATCACTGGTTCAAGGTTATCCTTTTGCAAGTATAGACATGGTTGTCCCAGCAGCATTTGAAAAAAAGACTCTTTTCCCCTCCTCGAATTGCCTCGGCAGTTTTATCAAAACTCAGTTGACCATCAAAGTAAGGCTTATTCCTGGTTTCTCAGTGCCAATTCTGTTGGTCTCTTAGATTTGTCCTTACACCAGGTTCCTCCTGCCCCTATCACTGCGTCATTGTAATACCTTTTGAAACTGGGTTGTATGGGTCTTTTACCTTTTATTCTTCTTTCTCAGGCTTGTTTCGCTTACTCTGGGTCTTGTGCATTTCTTTGTGAATTTTGGGATCGGCTTGTCAATTTCTACCGAAGCCCAAGGTGATAGGGATTCTGTTCCATGTGAAACAGTCTGCCAGTGTGTAAACTGTGCCATCTGCAAATGGACATGTAGCTCTGCCTTTTGGTGTTTCGTTGCTGTGAGCAACATTGCTGGGTGCACTTCTGGACGCAGATGCCAGGTGCCTGCGTGACGCATTTCTCTAGGTGAGGAACCTACCTGGGCAAGGTCTTCCTTGGTAGCAGCGAGGGTGCTGCCTCAGTTTCCCAGATCCTGAAGCTGTTTCCGCACAGCCCGGCCAGCATGCTTTCGCTTTCCCTAGCAGCAGCAGTGGGAGAGTCTGCCGTTCAGCATTTGGCCATCATTTGGTGTGAGCAGACTTTCTGTTTTCATTCTTTCATTTTAGGAGATAACAAGGTCATTTATTGTAGTTTTAATTTACTAATAAAATTGAGCTTCATTTCTTTTTTTATTTTAAGATAGGGTCTCACTGTGTAACCCAGGCTGGCCTCAAAGTTACTATGATCCTCCTGCCCCAGCCTCCCGAGTGCTGGGATGACAGGCACGTGCCACCATAACCCAGTAAATCGAGCCCTTTGTCACATGTGTATGGGCCATTGAGGTTTCCTTTTCTGTAAAGTGTCTTTTGTTGATTTCATTTGCCCATTGTGTTAGTTATATATTTCCCCAGTGGGTTTTAAAATTTTTTGAAAAATATATTCTGGTTCATAGTGATCTTCCTTCCTTCCTTCCTTCCTGCTCAGCCATGGTCATCCCTTAATCCATTTGTTCTGGTTATTGCAGTATCTTTTTAAAAATCTTAATTTGGCAAACTTAGTGTCCTGAAATATTAGAATCCTAGTAGTTTCCTTGTTCATTGGAAACAAATAGAAAAAATCTTTTCAGGAGTTTCCTACCAGTGTGAGAAGTTAGTGAGTAAGTTCAGTGGCCTGCATTTCAGGCGGAGGAGCATATTAATTGTTTAGGAAATGCTGATAGCGTATTACACTCACTCAGAGTGCTGACAAATCCCAGGGTCCAAGACGTACCCCGGACCAGTTTTATCAGAATTTCTGGGTGGCAGGACCCTGGCGTCAGAACTTTTCAGCACAGAGGATTCTGAAGTTGAGAATGCTTGGGGTGAGCCCTTACCCTGCATCTGCAAGCTTCGTTTTGTGCAGCAGTCACTTGGAGCCCTTGTTAAAACCCTGATTTTCAGGTTCCTCGGCTGGAGGCTTTGACCAGTAGGTTTTGTGGGGAGTAGCAAATTGGTGTCTTCAGTGCATTCTTCAAGGTACCTACCTGGTTCTTAGAAAAGTTAGGAAGTAGCATCAAAGCTTTCAAAGCTGTGGCGTTTTCAAAATAGTGATTTTTAACACAGTCACTGAGGGTCACGATTTTTGTATGTCTCCTTACTGGGTGGCCTAAGGGAACATGCTCGACCAAACCATCAGGTGGCCTTTTAGTAATTTTGTGAGTAAAAAGACCCGTGAATGTGATTAGATCCGTTTGTACCACCAGTGGCTCAAGCCACCCAATGGGACAGTCATGCGTGTCCCACCCGTGGTTCGAGCTGCCAGAAAGAAACATGTTACAAGGTAACTTCAATTCAAACCATTGTTATGGCTTTAACTTTGGATTTGCAAAAGCTTTGGTTCCTGTTATAGTGTGTAAATATATGTGCCATGTAACCAGCTTGGGAGAAAATCAGTGGACAGAGGTTTGTGAAGTCTGTTTGAAATCTTCTGCTTGAATTCTGGGCCTCTCACCTCACACGCAGAAGGTCGGTCTTCCCCGTGAGACTTGGAAACCAGCTTCTGGGTGGGAACTCGGGGATGTCACGGCCCTAGGAACGGAGTGCTGTGTATTTTAAACGGTCCCTAGAATTCAGAGTCGTTTGCTTTTTCCTTCCAGCTCACATCTTCTGGGGCAATTGTTGTAGTTGGAACTCTCGCAAAGAGCATGGGAAAATCCCAAAGCAAGGCGTCGGGAATTGGAAGTCCACATACATGCACGCGCCACATTTTGTGTCAGCGCTGTTGTTTTCACAGCTTACACCCGGCTCCCTAGAGCATGGAGGATGTTTCATAAATCAGGCATGTTAAGCTTAGGAGAAACTCTGATTCTAACAATTTAGATACTGAGTAACAACGCCAAAGTGGAAACACAGGTGGGCCTATCTCTTGACCTGGTCAATCTTTTAACCATTTTCTGCATATTGGAAATCCATATTAAAGGACTTTTCTAAATGTTCAAAAATTTTTTTATTTTATTTGCTTAAGTATTTGAGGCAGGATCTTTTTTTTTTTTTTTTTTTTTTTTTGAGGCCGGATCTTACTTGTAGTCTAGCCTGGCCTCCAACTCCTCATCCTCCTGGCTCACCCTCTGAGCGCTGGGCTTCCAGGCATGCAACACCTGGCTAATTATTTTATTTTTACATGACATTTTCCAGTCTGAAGATCAACTGTTGGGATCCTAAAATGCAGGAAAGTTATTTCGTTCCTTATGTTGACTTTGAGATCTGTAGACTTTCACGGCTTTACATTTAGTTCTTCTGAGTAGAAATAGCTTTTTGGCCTCTAATTACAAAGATACCTTAGCCTGGGGTGTTGGGCCTTGTTGAGTGGCTTCAGTCTTTGCTTAAGAATCCTGAATGTAACTGGGCTGGCGGCACAGGCTTGTAATCCCAGCACTCTGGGAGGCTGAGGCAGGAGATTTGCGAGTTCTAGCCCAACCTAGGCAACTTAGTGAGACCCTGTCTCTAAGTCAAACAAATTTTTTAAAGTCTGGGCATGTGTCTAAGTACAAAGGCCCTGCATTCCACCTCCATTTCTGGGGAAAAAAAAAATCATGACCGTGTCAGCAGCCTTTTGGCACCGGTGAGAGCGTAGGGCTTGTGCGATTCAGTCAGAGCTGGACCACTCCCAGTGCTGAAGATCATAGTTCCCAAGAAACACATCCTGTTGGAGCTTGGCATGTTTCCCTGGAGCAAGAGTAGGTTTAAATAGTTGATGTACGTTTAAGAAGGCTCCACATACTTACTTCTACGTAAAGAGCATATAAGAACCCTAGTCAGGTGTGGTGGTGTATGCCTGTAGTCCCAGCACTCTTGAAGACTGAAGCAGGAGGTTCACAAGTTTGGGTGTAGCCTGGGCAATTTGAGACCCTGTCTTGAAATTAAAAATTATCCGACCCAGACTGAAATAAACCAGAGGAAGCCAGGCTGGAAAACAGAACAAAGACTGTTCAGAAGAGAGGACTGTAGTGCAGAGATGAGTACTGACCGCGCCTGGTTCCTCCAGGAAAAGACTTCCTCAGTCCTGTGGCTTTCCTGAACCTACCTTAAGAGGCTCTTTGTGAGCAGTCTGGGTTCCTTTGTCAGAAGCCCAGTGGTTTTGCTTATCATTACATCCTCCTTGCCTACCACGGGGCTTGGCACAGAGTGGTAAGCATCTTGTTTATAGAGATCATTAGTTTTCCAGGCGTGGAGATTCCTGACCACATCAGACACGGCATGGTGGGCTTTCTCTCCTTTTTTTCTTTTCACAGTGCTCAAAGCTTCTTTCGGACACAAGTGTTATTCAGTTCTACCCAAGCAAATTTGTCCTCATCACCGACATACTGGATACATTTGGTAAGTACCCTGTCCATCTTATGTTTGGGGAGTGTGTTTGTTTTTTCAGGAATCGGGTATTAGAATTGCTTTACTTTAGGTTCCGCGGTGAATTGAGTAAGAAGGTAAATTATGAGGGAGACCACACCATGCCTGCTTGCCTGTTAACAGGGATACCATGGCTTTGCACATTTTTATTTTCAGTGGATGTATTGTACATATTAAGTACATCGTATGCGTGTACATGAATGCAGTAATCACACACATATACAGGTACAGCATAGTTACCTGGCGGTGTAACAGAACATTAAAGGTTGTTCCTCCTGTCCATCTGTGGGACGAGTTTGAATGACAGAACCTTGGGTACTGTTTTTTTCCCATCTTGAGTTAGGCTGGTGAAGGGAATGAACAAAGCAGGGTCCACTGGGGAGCACAAGTCCTGTCTAAGCCAGCTGTTGTCCAGCTCCTGTACATGGTCATCCAGAGCTCACACTGTTCAGAAGTGAGAGTGTTAGGCAGCTTTTGTTGCCACAACAAAATACCTGAGAAGGATGAATTTACAAGGAGGAAAGCTTTGGAGGTTGTGCTCTCCAGTACAGCTGTGATCGTGTGGATGCGTTGTTTTGGGGCCCGTGGAGAGACAGGAACAACATGATGGCACTCATGGTGAAGCAGATCCGCTTACCTCATGGCCGAGAAGCAAGAGTGAGGAGCGGACCGGTGTCCCGCAGTCCCTTCCAGGGACCGTCCGCAGTGGCCTAAAGACCTCCCAGAGGTGCCACCACCACCTAGTGGCGCCACACTGCAGACCAAGGTCCAGACTACTTACTGAACCTGGCTGCTTGTCCCCGCCTTTTCCCTGCCCTGAGGAGTTCCCGTCTCGGGGTTGGCACCCCATGGACCTCCTTGCCGAAACTGGGAAAGTGTTCCCCCACTGAAGCGTCTCCATCCTCACCGGTGCCCTGCTATCCAGATGATGCTCATAGTTCGTCTGAGGTCCCCCTGCACCCTCGTGGCCACCCGAGCCTCACAGTCCAAGGCCAAGCAGAGTGATCTTTTGGAGCCCAGTAGAGTGCAGGAGCAGGAGGCCCCTTGGCCAACGGCTTAGTTTAGTGCTCGGTTGGGCTAGAACATCCTGCTGTTAGGGATTTGCTAACCAGGTGACCCCTAAGCTATATGTGTGTGCAGAATGCAGGTGGCCCTGAAGAAATGGGGACCGCTGTGGTCTCCTGAGAGCTGAACGCACAGGAAGTCAAAGCAGAGGTGTTCGCTATCTTACCAACGAGGAGCCTGGGTGACCCAGCACTCTTGTCTGTAATTCGTCCAAAGATCTGATGTGCCAGGAAACGAACTGTCAGCCAGTCAGCTCTGCACATCCCAGGTCTGTCCAGGAGACCAGGCCCAGAGTGTGTTAGCTAGAACAAGTGCCGGGAACCCTAACTCGCCTGGGACAGAGGGGTGTTTAGTGGCTCATGCTGAGAAGTCCAGGAGTAGATTCTGGCTTCAGTACAGCTGGATCCAGGAACTCAGTGTCCTCGGGACCTTGTCCTTTTCTAGTACTCGCTCTTGGGTTAACTTCATTTCCAAGCTTCCTCAAGTGTCCTTCTCTGCTGTCAGCTTTACCGCTCATGGTCCCCGGGGCAAGGAGAGCTGCTTTCTCCAAACACTCCACCCACCATCCTGAAATTCCAACTCACAGCTAGACTCAGACCCATGTTGGGCTGTGAGCCCCCATGGTGTCTAGGGACGAAATTTGCTGATTTTCCCAGGCCAAGCGCCACCTGAAAGAAAAAAGGTGAGGCCAGCACCTGAAAAAGGGGGAACAGATGCTATCTGGGTAAGGAGAGGTTCAGGTCACACAGGGGTGGCATCAGGTGCTTTGGGGATGGATCAGCAGGGAGGAGAGAGACACATCCCTCCTTTGGGGGCATTTGCAGTACACGGTGGAGAACTGGGAGGATAACCGAGTGAACCCCACCCTGTGTCAGGCAGTGATCAGTGCAATGAGGGAAAAGCAGATAGAAGCAGAGGAACAGGACTGGCTGGTGGGGAGAGCGGGTAGGCTGTGAATAAGCGGGGTTAGGGGAGGGCTTGCTGGGGAGCGTGTGAGCAGTGTGTGTGGGAGGTGGGGGGGCGAGGCCGAGGAGCAGCCAGTGCCCTGGGTTAGGGCCATGCCTGCGGCTTGGAGAGCCATAAGGAAACCAGGGTGGCCGGAGTGGCATGAGCAGGAGAAGGCAGAGTGCACACGGCCCGGGAGGACGTGGGCTTTGACTCTGAGGTGTGAGGCCGCCAGATTGTGAGCCGCAGAGCCTCTTGGGATTTTACTTGGCTCCCCCTGGCTGTTGGCTGGGTGGCCTGTAGGTGTGGACTGGACTGGAGTGGAGTCTGCCCAGGGGCCACGGTAGCGCTTGCGGTGCCAGCCGAGGGTTGTGTGGCCCAGGTGAGGCAGTGGGGATGGGAGGAGCTGCATGAGGCTCTCAGGACAGGTGCCAGGTGTATGCCACTCAGCCTCTGCTGAGTTCTCCTGGCAGCCGCCCTTCCTTCTGGTCTCCTTTGCTGGCCTCCTTCATGTTGGCATCTCTGGGTGATACCAACTCCCAACAGCCCTGGCAGCACGTTCACCTTTGGGTGCAGGGACTTTGGGTGCCCAGGGCCCATCCCAGTGAGCTGAGATGCAAGGCAGTGCCACTGTGCTTGCCCCATGCTAGAGAGTAGCTGGGCTGCCCTTTGGGGCACTAGTGATAAACCCCCAGCACATGGTCTGAGCAGCCCTGTGAGAGGTAGCGTCTGTTACTGTCCCCGTTTTATAGAGGAAGAATCTGAGGCCCAGAGACATAGGCAGCTTATCCAAGGTTTCCAGCATGGTGTGTGACTGAGCTGGGACTCACTTAGGGCCCTCTGCAGTCAAGCTCCTGCATCTTCTCTCACGCATTGCTTGTGTGGGCCGTTTCACACACCAGGAAAATTTCCAGCGCTGATCCCTTTGACCCAGCATTTTCACCCCTAGGAACTCATCTTATTTGTAAACAGCAAGAGATGGAAACAACCCCACCCAGTGGCCACCAGTAGGGGAGCAGTTAAATAAGTCGTGACACATCTCTGCAGTGGAGTACTCAGTGCTCTCAGGAGGAAGATCCCCTGGGGGTATTGTAAAGTGGAAAAGCTAAGATGCTGGAGCTCTGCGGAGTGTGTTCCTTTTTGTTTAAGAAGGACAAAATTAGAATGTGTGGTCCGTCTGCTCTCCCGTGTGTGCTGAAGACCTAGAGGATACCCAAGCAACTAGTACACTGAGAGGCAGTGAAAGGTGGAGAATTTCCCTCAGCATTTTGAGCCGTGGGAATGTGTTACTTCTTCAGAACCAGTTTGTGAGGCCCCCGCCCTGTCCTTCCTGTCCACTTGAGACTGACTGCTCCTGGCTTGGATCTGTTATGGGGCCCGTACTCAGGGAGACTTTGTAAGGCTTTGGGCCCCCTGAGTTTCCCTTTTTGAAGAGCAGGAGTGGAATGCACCTTGCTTGGGTGACAGTCCCGGGTCCTGTGTCCGTCTTTCTACATGTCCTCTCTGCTCCATAAGATGATGCCTGGTGGTGCAGGGCAGGTGCCTCATGGCTGCTGACGTGATTGGCACAGGTAGGGATGTGGGACACAGCCCCAGGTTTCAGAGATGCGCACACACAGGGGAAGACGCGTGGCTGTCTTTTTTTTATTGGGGTCTCACAAGAGACCTCAGTCTGTTCTGTGCACCTTCTGCTCCGCAGGCCTTGCTGTGTGTTGGGTGAGGTGAACCCCACACCATCCTGAAGCCAGAGCTGTGCTCCCGAGGCTCAGGTGATGAAAGCACGGCTCACCTTGAAGGAGGAGGCAGGAGGTGCAGGGAGCTGGGGCTCCCCTCTAAGGCCTCCCACAGCATCAACCAGAGCCCACGAAGACCCGGGCTTCTCATGCTGGCTGCACACTGGGCTCCCCTGGGAACCTTTACAGACTCTGGCGAGGCTCCAGCTGTATCCTGTCCCAAGCTGTGAGGAGGGGCACGGACTCGTGCAGCTTCTCAAGAGCACCGCATGCCAGTTGTGCAGCCAGGTGTGAGAAGCACAGGTGTGGTGAGAGGCGCTCTGGTGTCTTCCTCCGCCGGTGCTTCTCTCGCTCAGCTTCTCAGCAGGTCAAAGCCACAGGCGTAGGCCTGACCCTCCACCCAGAACTTTCCATTTCATTAGTTCTGAGGTGGCCCAGGAGTGTTTGTTTATGAACAGTGTCATTAGGTGATTGTTACACAGGTGTCCACCCTGGAAGAAGCACCCTGGTGGCGCCTCCTAACTTAGCCTTTTCCTTACTTCATCCTGACACAGTGTCAGCTCTTGACGTCATTTCATCCCAGGTTCTTGATCAGAGTGATTTTTACCACTTTCTCATTTTCAAGGTGCAGTATTCTTTATTGCCCAGAATAATGGGGTTATGAAAAAGAGCACAGACACTTTTAAATTGAAGGTGATGGTGTGGGGGGAGAAGAGCCGTCATCGTACCCCCTGTGTAGTGCAGATGTTTTCCAAAATATATGCACAGAATCAATAGTTTTTCCTCCTGGCTTGGGGGTCCAGACTGCCTGTCTGTTGTAAATCGTTTTTTGGAACACAGCAGGCCTGTCTGTTTACATATTGCCTCTAGCTGCTTTAGTTCTGCCCAGGCAAAGCTTGCCTGGTTGAGGCCTGGTTGAGGCAGTGACCCGTGCCCTACTCTCCATCCATCCGCCCAGCAGGCATCCGGTCCCCTGGAGACCAGCCTGGGTCGGGTCCTGGACGTGGGGCAGTGAATGAGACGAGCACACTTGGTGCCCCCGGGGCTTCCTTCCTGGTAGAAGCTCAAGTTCAGATGCTTCGAGGTACCGCTGGGCAGGTCCGAGTGAGGGGGCAGGTGACTATACAGGAGTCCGGCGAGGTGGCACTGCAGCAGACCAGCAGTGCAGGGCCCTCGCCGTCTCCCTGTGGCGGGTGGGCACATCTTTGCACATGACGTGTGAAGAAGCAGATTTTTCACAAGAATCCTCCCAGTTTCCTGTTGGTAATGAATTCATAAGTTGTTGAAGCGCCTTGTGGGCCCTCAAGGTGTGCGTCAGATACACCTGGTTTCAGGCTTGACTCAGCCCACTTACAGCCTCGATTGAAAGTTGAATGTAGAATTTAGAATATTTTCTGTTGAGTGTATGGAGAGAGCTGAGACTCTGTTAGCTCTGGGTTTCAGTCAAAACTGAAAGGTAAAATGGTTACCTTTCTTCTCTCATAAAGGAAAAGACCCTTCTCATTAAAAACAAAAAGGCCAGTAGGCACATAGTTTAAACTTTGTCCCACTAGGTGGCAGTGTTATCACAAGTTAAGATGTGCCTGGGATAGGCTATGTCTGTGTTCCTAATGAACACACATTATTTAGTGTTTGCCTCTGTGGTGTGTGATCCTAAAACCATATGTCCTTTTCTCCCAGGAAAGCTGGTCTATGAGCGCATCTTTTCCATGTGTGTGGATAACCGCAGCACCTTACCAGGTAACACTAGTTTTTAGCCAGTCTAGGTGGGATTCTTTTTTTAAAATTTTTTCTTCCTGTGCTGCTGTGGATCGAACACGGGGCCTTCGCCCTAAGGTACATCCCCAGCCTTTCATATTTTTTTATTTTGAGACAGGGTCTTGCTAAGTTGCCCAGGGTGGGCTCGTACTTGTGATCCTTTTGCCTCAGCTTCCCAGAGCCAGGCATGTGCTGCCGCACTCGGCTTCTGGGTATCGTTCCACCTTGAAGTCAGCATTAGAAGGTTTTATCGAGTCAGGATTTATTGAGACCTGATACAACTTTAAATTTTGGTGGGTTCAGAGGGGGACATGTTTGAAGACCTCTGACCACATCAATCATCCAAAAACAAGGTCTTCAGATGATACTGGAATGTGCAGAAATGGAAAAATGTAAAATTAGACTCTGCTGATCTTTCACAGGAGGTAATTTTCCTCTGCTGTTTGATACTTTAATATTTTCATGCATATCTTCCTTTTTTTAAAGAAGCAAATTGCTTAAACAAAACGATGTGTCTGAACGAGCAATGTCAAATAAATCAATAGTAACAGATGCCTTGAATCTACAGCCGATACCCGAGTAATGTTCACATTAAATTTATTGCCAACCAGTTTGAAGTCCTCGAGGGATTATATAATGGGACATGTGGATGATCAATTTCTTGTGTCACATAAATGATAATGGTGGTGAGTCTGGTGGTGCATAATTCAGCTGCAGCTTTTCCTTTATCCTTCTTGTAACTCACAAGCAGCGCTGCCCGGAAGCAGCCTCATTTGGACAGGTTGGAGCAGCCAGTGAGCCCTGTCGCCCCTCCTCCTCTGCTCCTGACAGCAGTACTTTGCAGGGGACACACAGACAAGGGCAGTGACAGTGACCCGGTGTCTGACCTATATCTGCTTTCCTCCTTCCCTCCCCCCGTCTCCCGTTCTGTCCTTTTCCCTTTCCTGTCACACCCTCTCTCTCCCATCCATCCATTCGCCCATCTTTTTAAAACTGGGTAATAATGTACATTCCTCAGGAAGACAGAACTCTCTATACCTTTGGATCTAAACAAGCTCTTAAAAACCTTCTAGTCTCAGCAGGATGAAGCCAGTGTGGAAGAGTCAGGGATTTGTCTTTCCGTGTGGCAGCCATTGGCCCAGGTGGGGTTCCTGAGCACTTGAGATGTTGCTGTCCAAACCAAGATGCACTAAAAAAAAAAGGACACTGGATTTCAAAGACTGAGTAGCTCAGTAATAATGTTTGTATTGATTACATGTTGAAATGACATCCTGGGTGAATTGGGTCAAAGTACATTGCTAAAATTAATTTTGGCTGGGTGTGGTGGCATGCGCCTATGATCCCAGTACTCCAGAGGCTGAGGAAGGAGGACTTCTGCGAGTTCAAGGCCAGCCTCAACCACATAGTGAGTTCAAGGCCAGCCTTGCAAGACCCTATCTCAAATTAAAACAAAATAAAATAATTTCACTGGTGCTGCTCTAGAACTCAGTGTTCCAGGCACATCAAAATTAGGTGGTAGGGAGCCTGAAAAGGTGGGCCCCCAGCCCCAGTGGGAAGGTTCTCTCTGTAGGCTAAAGGATTTGGGAAATTTAATCCATTTATTGAATTTAGACTTGCCGTGTGTTACTCCAACAGCAGCAAACTTCAGCCAGAGGTGGAATTAAACCCAAACATGTTCTCTTTGGCAGCAATAGCAATTTATTTATCTAGGTTTCAGCACTGGGGACCGATCCCAGGACCTCAGGCTGGGTGTAGACAAGCTCTCTGCCACTGAGCTACATCTCCAGACCAGCAATTTTTTAAAAGTCCTTGTTAGTACAGATTCTGCTCTCTCTTAGTATATGAACTGCTTGCACTAATTTTCCTTCCTCCTAATTTTCATTGACTACCCAATAGTTTAGGGCCAAATTAGGAAAGATTACTTAGAACTGACTGCCTACCCAAACTCTAAAGTTCAGAGTTAAAGGCTGTTTTCATATCCACTTCCAGTCTTTGTCTCAATATACTAATTAGCACCTTTATTACTAAATTTCTCTTCTCAAATGCCTATTTTTATTTTTCACCTGGAGCCATGCAAACTAGGCTTCTGTTTTCTAGCAAATGATTTCTTTATATATTTTTTTTCTTTCCCTTAAAATCTCCATCTGCATGGTTTTCACTAGTCCCAAGAACCTGAAAGGGAAAGGGACATACTTCTCTTATAACTGGCTGCTGATCTGGGGCGATGACTCCTAACCAAAATAACAAAGAAAGCATCGTGATCTGCTCTGCAGAATTCTGCCTGAAGACATTATGTAGAAAGGGAGCTCCTGTGGCGTCAGGACTCATTCTTTCCATTTGAATGAAGTCCTGTCTGGTGAATCTAATGTTGACCTCTTTGCCTACAGGAGTTTTAACCTCAGTTTAGCTCTCAGGAGTTTAGGAAGAGATCAGTGTCTTTGGGGTTCACGGAGAGGACACACAAGTAGCTGCGGTTTCCTCCCACCCAGACGTTTCTTTACCTAGCGTGTTCGGTGAGCGCACGGCCTCTGAGTGACCAAACCATTTGCTTCCAACTGGGGAGTCAGTATTTGGGTTTGTGGTTCTCAACCCCATCATCTCAGCAAACCTGCTGTCGGGTTTCCATGGCCGACGTGGGCACAGGGTCAGCAGGGGTCCTCCCTGACCAGGCTTTTGGGTACGTGCCGACTGAGGCAGTCACATCAGTTGTGTTCTGCAAAGATGGGGGGCACTTGACAGGAAACAGCACTCACTGGACTCCGTCTCTGCCCTCTTCCTAAAATGTCCACAGAAATTCACGCTTAGTAAAAGAAGCACCATAAAAGAAAAATGAATGGGAACTAGGAGGAAAGCCTCTCCCCTTTGTTACATCAGTGGCAATCTGAGTCAGTTTCCAAATTCTGAGTGCATTTTCCATGTAGCAGCCCAGGCTCCGAGGCACAAGCCATATGTCGAGCCATGCCATTCCTTTGCTCAGAATCCTTCAGGGAGTTTCTGTCCCATTAGGAAAAAGCTCAGAGTTATCACCAAGACTGCAGTCCTCTGGGACCTCCTTGTGGTGCCTGCCCCTCCCCTTCCTGCTCAGCTCCTTGGCTTGCTGTCTGTTCCTTGGTGATGCTGATGTCATACCTACCTCCAGGGCCTTTGCACTTGCTGTGTCCTCTCCTTGAAATGCATCCCCTCCTCTTTTGTGCGCAGCCGGCTTCCCTTGGTAATTCAGGGCTTAGCTCAAATGCCATCTCTGCAGAGGCCTTCTCTAACCACCCTGTCAAACGTACTGTCGCTCAAATCATTGTCATGTCTAGTTCTTTTGTGGTACTGACTGCTCTTGGCTGTTACCTTGTTAGTTTGCCTGCTTATCCTTTTTTCTCTTTATGAGTTTTCTATACCACTGCATTGTTGCTAAGTTGTTCAGGCTGGGCTTGAACTTTGATCTTCTGCTTCAACCTCATGTAGTGCCTGGATTACAGGTGTGCTACCATGCCTGGCTTTTAGTTTTTAGTTCGCTTTCAAGGCATTTGTGTTACACAAATGAAATAAGGGACTATATTCTTAAATTTGCTGTTAGATTTTAAAGACTTGAGTAACCCAGTCCTTTTTCTGAGTTAACTTTAGAGCTGGAAGGGAAGCCCAAACACCTCAGGTTGCTACGTGCAGATTGTCATATAGCCTGCAGTCAGAGTGCCTGTTAGGGCGTCTTGACTTTAGCAAGAGTTCCAGCCCTTTAGACAGCTGGAATCACTGATTTTCTACCCTTTGCCAAGCCTCAGTACCCTCAACTGGGAATCAAGAGATTTTATGGGTAACCTCAGAAAAAAAACAAACTTTTTTTGTTTTGCTTTTGGACTATAAACTTCATGATTCCTTCATATGAAGGGAAATTAACCCCACCTTCCCTCTTCCAAAAGGCAAGGTTGACAGATGAATTACTTTGGGCCAGGGATTTAGCTTAGTGGTGCCAATGCCTTCCTCACAAGGGCAAGGTCCTGAGTTTGAGCCCCAGTACCAAAAAAAAAAAAAAAAAAAAAAAGAATAACCTTTTTCTTTTCTTTTCTTGTGGGAAATCCCTTGAAACTTAGGGGAGGAAAGTTACTCTGAAATATGTGTAGGTTCAGGCCAAGAAGGTAAAAATGGTCCTTTTCTGTCCTTTTGAAGTTGGCAAGGCAGTGGCTGCAGGTTAGTTCAGTGGTAAAGTGTTCAGCTGGCATACACAAGGCCCCAGTTTTGATAACCAGCCCTGGAGGAAAAAGGAAACAAAATGGTAAACCAGTCGTTTTTAAATGACCAATGCATGCCAGACATCCAAAAACAGATAAATACGTGAGATTGCAGTTTGGGGACAGCTGCAGTTGTGATTAGTGACTGTTCTCTGCTAGAGAAGGTACCTCTTGGTTTATCTTTTTTTAGCTGACTCCTTAGAAATTTTGACCAACTTAATCATAGACCTTCAGTAGCAAAGTCAGGGATGAAAAATGACTTTGCTGCAAAGCCATATGAGAGCCAACAAGCTTAAGAGTCCTTTGCTCGTCCCAAACTAATGAACTTTTCCTTTAATTTGATGTTTGTTTGGTTTTTTTTGTTTGTTTGTTTGAAGATAGGGTCCTGCTCTGTAGTTCAGGTCTTGAACTCGTGTTGCTTCTCCTGCTGGGAATATAGACATGTGCCACCATGCCCAGCCCTTAATTGAATCTCAAAAGTATGAGCAGCCAGGGCTTGGATGAACTCGGATCTTTGGTGAAATCATAAAGAAGTTTCTGTGTGAGTGTTCAACAGGAACCTTCTTGCTATTGATAAGTTGTTTTTTCTCTCTTTTTCTTTATACTTTTTTTTCATTCCTTAGTAAGATGTATGTCAAGTCTAAAACTGAGAAGTTTTTGTGGTTTATATAAAAGAAGAACATACAACGAGATTAGACTTGGCTGCCAGGGCCAGAAACTCAAAATAACAATAAGGGGGTCAGGGCTGGTAGGGCAGGTAGGCTGAGTACCAGGGATACTGATTACTTTTGTCTTGTTGCTCTCCTGTATCAGTGTAACTGCAGAGGTTCCGGCTATCTGCATTCCAATCAGCGAGCAAGGAGGGGCAGTGGGGACAGGCAAGCCCTTTCCCTGAAAAGATATTTGCCAAAAGTTGCATTTTTGTTTATATTCTGGGACCAGAACTTGGTCCCAGCTGTAGGGATGGCCGTATGCCCAGCAGAGAAAGAAGAGTTCTGTTATTAAAGAGGAAATGAATAGATAGTGGAATACACTGGCAGTTTTGGCACAGGATGTCTTGAGTCTTGGAGCTGGTAATAAGCCAGCACCAGCCCAAGCTGGTTTCTCACCTTGGGGCCTTGACCTACCTTCAGGTCTGGCTGAGGTGATGCTTAGGGCAAAAGATTAGATCACATCTGATTTTACATTTGCAGGTGCCCAAAGCATCTGTAAGCCTCAGTGGTATTGCTGCAGTTACTGCTGAATCCACCAAGAACCTTTGGATTAAAATACATGTAATGGCCAAGAATATTATAGCTGTGACAGTTGTTGGCTGTGTCCTGGACAGTTTGCTCCTCCTCCATGTACCTTGCTGTCTGCCTCCGTAAAAGAGGATCATGAAAGTATGGACCATGGCAGGGGTAGGGGAGGGTACTGGGGGTGGCGCTGAGGTAATGTCAATAGAGTTACTCTGCATGAAGCCTGGCACTTTGAAAACTGCGTACGCATGTGTGTGTGTGTGTGTGTGTGTGTGTGTGTACACAGTATTTCTGTCATCAATCATCTCCTAATAGTGATGTCTTTTGGAAGGACAGGTACCGAGGGACTGTACCTCCCTGTCTTCTGCTCCGTAATGTTTTCCAAACCCAAGTCTCGAGGCAGCTGCCAAAAATACCAAAACTTAGAGGATGCCTAACAGGGATGGTTTTGTATTTCAGATCACTTTTCTCCAGAGAACGTAAATGACACGGCCAAGGAGACATGCCTGAATTGGTTTTTCAAGATTGCTTCCATCAGGGAACTCATTCCAAGATTGTATCCTTTTTTCTGTCTGATGATATTAAAGATAGGCAACAAGAGTTGCACCATTAATAGAAGACATGTGACGGAGGGCCTGACATTTCTGCTGAAAATCTGGTCCAGTTACGATTGCCAGCCTAAAGAGAAAGGCACTCCACCTTGGAGGAGCCCTTGCGTGGACTCTTGCTCTTTCAAGTTTTGGTTTTTGCACTGAACACAATGCAGTGCTTTAGGCTTTTGTTTCCGTGGGGAACATTCCCATGTTAACTCTCCCAATTAAGACACTTCATCTTTGTGTTTTTTCTCTGGTTCCAAAAGCCTGAAAAACAAAAACAAAAAACTGGTCAGTCTTTTCTGCACAGACTCCAGTACTGAGGAACAGAGAATTCGACTTATCCACAGATTGTCCCTTAGTTACCTAAAGTTCACCCTTTTTCTGTGAAGCTTAGTTGAGAAATGCTCAAAACCCACTTTGCCATCTCAGCATGCAGCCATGAATCAGCGCGTAACATTTTCCAGAATTATTTTAAATAGGTATGGAACCCCGAGGACCATATATAGAAACAGCCAGCCACTAGCTGACTTGATTGTGTGTGTTGTTATGGGCCACTGTGATCCTGTTTTTCATAAAGTTACTAGTTTTCTTCTGGAACATTCTTTGTCCACAGGGAACAAGCTGTCTGGAAAGTGTCTTCCTTAATGGAATGTTTTTATAGCTACGTGGAAGCATCCATCCTGAAGTGCAATAAATTCCTTTCTAAAATGTAAGGTTCTTCCTGAATGTCTAGCACCGTAACATTTCTAAAGCTCTCACGCATACGTAGACGCACTCGTGGCAGTGTGATAGTAGGCGGTATTCATGAGCACTTTATGGTAGATCTGTGTTAATAACCTAATCAGTATTTAGTCCAAGTGAAAATTTCATGAATTAGAGACCCGCATTTTCTTATCTGTTTGATCAATGTAGAAGAAAACGGAAGCTGGGGCAATCTGGTTAAATAGTATATGGGAGGTCACTTTGACTTCATTTGAGTCCTGGCCACATAGCTACTGACTGTGTGGTTTGAGAAAATTGTTTCGAGTCTGTGAGCCTCAGTTTCCTCTCCTGTGTGTGGGTCTAAGAAGGGATCTATACATGGCCTTTAAACTGTGCATGCAACCATGAGAATCAGGCCAGACATAGTGGGACCACGTGCCTGTCAGCTGCTGCTGTTGAAGAAGATGATGATGATGCTGATGCTGCTGCTGCTGCTGCTGCCGCCTTTGTCCTTGGAGACTCAGGTTACTTCTTTGGTTCATGATAGATAATGCTTTTGAGGACAGTTTACAGAGCCCAGGGAAGCCAGATTTGTGTTCCACAGAGCCAGTGACATGCCAGTCACTCTTTAAAGTCAGGAACTGCCCCCTGGAGTGCCACTGCTTGCTATTTTGATTGGATTTAGAATTTCTCCTGAACATCTTTGATTAGGATCTAGGGATGTCTGAGATACTTGGGGAAATAAGACAGGTGCTGAAGAGGCTGTTATTTCACCTCACTGTTGTAAGCAGAAGGAAGTCCAACAATTCACCTGGATGGGGACCAGGGACAGAAGGTGTCTGTCTGATGCTGGCCTGAGGTTCTGGGAAGAGATGGGCACAGGACATTAATTGCATCAATGCCAAAGGAATATAGAGAGAGATACAGAGAGAAGATCAAGGGGTATTCAGTGGGTGGAAAATTGTCGAGGGACAAAACTTAAAATTAGTAAAGTAGAAGGTGGAGGAGTGATGAACAGCAGGGAAACAGCCTCTCCAAGATTTGGTGTCCAGACACTGGAATAAAACAATGTGAGAAAGAGAAGAGATGGGGTAAGAATTGAAGCCCACAGAGGGCAAGGAGAGAGACTTCAACAGAGTAGAAGGAGGTGGCAAGCGGCACTTTCTCCTTGAGCCTGGCTCACTGCATGGGAAGGACAGCTCAAACCTTGAGATGCATGGTGACTGTTGGTGACCGAGAGGCCTCTACAGAGGAATGTAGCAGTGGAACAAAGCAGTGGACCCCACAGATTGCAGTGGCTGGTGTGTTATTTGGCTTCAGAAGCCCCCCGGAGAGGGTGATTGGCCTGTAGCCATCGTGGAGAAGGGGCCACCTGAGCTCAGAACTCAGAGCAGCTATGGACTGGCTCCATCAGGGTGAGGCAAAACCAAGTTCAAGTCCACAGGAGGTCAGGCAGCCAAGTTCAAGCTGGCAGGGAACTGAGTTGAAGCCAGCAAGAGACACATGGAGTATTGCAAGTTGAACAAGTCAAGTTTTAGCCTCACAGCCAGAAACCAGCCTGAGCTTTAGAACTAAAGCTGCAGGCTTGCTGAGATTATCCACTCCCCGCCATAAACCTATGGTTGGTTTCTTGGTATTTATCAACAAATTTTCTCCCCTGTGGGTAAAATCACCATACTGAGGGCATATTTACTATATACAGTTTTCTGGTTTGTGTTAGATTTTGTTATATAACCACAAATCTAGTTCATACTGTTAAAGGTGGCAAATCAATAGTTACCACAGTTTATCATTTTCTAGGCTGGGTTTGATGCTATAGTTACTGTTGATTGTACCATTTTAGCCAGGGTGACATAATTGTTCTAATCAGTCGTTCTTTCTGGTACGCCAAGATGGAGATTGCCTATGGGTCATAAATAATACTGTAGGCCAGTGCCAAAGATCAGGAGGTAGGCTAAATAGGCAACAACTTCTCATCCCCAATAAATTGAACAGGCTTGATCTTGCAACAGACCCAAAACCAGCTATATTTGGAAGACATCTCTGAGAAGTAGTCATTTCCTAAGAGTTCTAAATACTACCAATAAAACTACTTGCACCAAATGGACAAAACTGAAAGCTTTCATGCTAAAATCAGGAACAAACAAGGATATCCACTGTGACCACTCTTATTCACTATAGTTCTAGAAACAGAGCAATTAGACAAGAGAAAGAAATAAAAGGACTAAAGATAGGAAAAGAAGCTAAATTATTATTTGCAGATGACATGATACTCTACATAGAAGACCCTAAGAATTCCACCAAAAGACTTCCTGATTTGATAACCAAATTCAATAGCATAGTTGGCTGCAAAGTCAACACTTCAAGTGCTCAATTCGGCAGCGCATATACAAAGTCTACACTAAAAAATCAGTAGTGTTCCTATATGCAAATAACAAACTCACTGAGAGAGAAATTAGGAAAATAATGTCTTTCACAATAGCATCCCCCAAAATGAAATACCTATGTATCAATCTAACAAAGGAAGTGAAAGACCTTTATGTGGAAAACTACCATACTCTGAAAAAAGAGATTGAAGAGAGTATCAGAAAATGGAATGACATCCCTTGTTCTTGGGTAGGAAGGACCAATATGGTGAAAATGGCCATACTTCCAAAATTGTTACACAGATTTAATGGAATCTCAATCAAAATACCAATAGCATGTCTCTCAGAGCTGTGAGAAAACAATTGTAAAATTTATATGGAACCCGAAGAGACCTAGAGTAGCAAAAGCCAGTTGGGGGCAATAAGAGGTACAAGGCCTCACAATCCCCAACTTCAAATCTTACTACAAAACTACTGTGATAAAAACAGCATGGTACTGGTGGAAAACAGATCCGAGGATCAGTGGGACAGATTAGTAGATGCAGAAACAACTCCAAACGTACTCACCCACCTTATTTTTGACAAAGGAGCCAAGCACCATCATTGGAAGAAAAACAACCTGTTTAATAAATGATTCTGGTTATATTGGCTTTCTACATGCTGAAGATTGAAACTAGAACCATATTTTATACCATGCACTAAACTCACATCGAAAAGGATGAAAGATCTAAATATTAAACACTTACTCTGCTGGAAGATATAGGTAGAACTCTGGAAGACCTTGGTGTAGGCAAAGACTGTATGACTAAAACCCTAATTACACAGGAAATAGTACAAAGAACAAATGGGTTCTCATCTTATTAAAAATCTTTCAAGCAGCAAAAGAAACCACCAACAGAGTGAAGAGACAACCCAGAGTGTGGGAAAAATTTTTTGCCAGATGTTCAACAAATAAAGGACTAATATTTAGAGTATATAAAGAACTTTTAAAAAATCAGACCCTCCAAATTTAAAGACCCAATCCAATGGGTGTCTGAAATGAACAGACACTTGTCAGAAGAAGAAAAAGAAACAGCAAGTATGTGTATAAAACAGTGTTCAACATCAGTGGTCATTCGAGAGATACAAATTAAAGCTGAGATTCCATGTCCAGAAAGAGTGGTTAATATCAAGCAACCAGTTACAAAAGCTGGCAGGCATGTGGGGAAAAAGGAACATTCTCCACTATTGGTGGGAGTGTAGACTGGTGTAACCATTGTGGAAATCAATGTAGAGATTCCTTAGAAAACTAAAACTTAAGAGGGGCCAGGTTTTTAGCTCAGTGGCACTGCACCTGCCTTGCAAGCACAAGGTCCTGAGTTGATCCCAGTACTGAAAGGAAAAAAAAAAAAAATTAAAACTTAGAGGTACCTACCATTCAATCCCGCTCTTCCCTCTTGCACCTGCCTTGCAAGCACAAGGTCCTGAGTTGATCCCAGTACTGAAAGGAAAAAAAAAAAAATTAAAACTTAGAGGTACCTACCATTCAATCCCGCTCTTCCCTTCTTGATGTCTTCCCAAAAGAAAAGCATCATATATGCCAGCCCATGTTTATAGTGACATAGTTTGTGATAGCTAAATCTTGGAAAAGCCCAAATACTCATCAACCAATGAATGGATAAAGAAGATGTGTTTTTTTAAAGATATGCAATGAAGTACTACTCTACCATAAAGAAGGATAAGCTTGAAACATCCCTAAGTGGATTTACCTTGAGACCGTACTTTTATGTGAGGTAAATTGAACACATTTACTGCATTGTTTCTCTGGTATGAGAAACAGAGTGGAGATAAGGACTAAAATATATAATAGGTATTGGGAAATGGGAAAAAAGTGTTCAACTAAGAAGGTAAACAAGGGAGGGGAGGGGGGAAAAGGAAGAGGGGACAAGAAAAAAATGGAAGAAAATGAAAACAGCCTTTGTAAAGAGAGGGAGAGGGGTCAAGGGAGTATAGGGGAATAGGGAAAAAAATAAGATATATCATGTACAGGTACAAAATCCCTATAGTGAATGTTGTTATGTATGAAATGTACCAACAAAGGTTTTGCTTTAAAAAAAATTAGTACAGTAAATGTGACTTCAAGCAGAAAAAAAGATGAAGGTCAACCTCAGGCACTGAGTAGATAATATTGCTAAAAGGAATCATTCAGTGAGTGAATCATACCAGGAGAGAAAGCCTTAGTACATTGTTTTAAAAACTCCTACACTTTGATCTTGATTTGCTCCTGAAACGTGTGGATGTTTTCCATCTCCAAAATGTAGGAGGTCTGGTGGGTGTGGTGGAGCACACCTATAATCCCAGCACTCCACAGGCTGAGGCAGGAGGATCACCACAAGTTCAAGGCCAGCCTGGACTACATAGTGAGTTCAAGGCCAGCCTAAACTTCAAAACGAGACCCCCCCATTTTAACTCCCTCCCCGCAAAAAAAACACCATAATGTAGGAAGTTTAGCTTTTATTGTAAAGCTAAGAAACTAGCAAGTTCTTCCACTGGGTGTGATGCTGCCTTCTTTCTCTCCCACAGGGGGATTTCGGAATGCCTGCCCCGCTTGACCTGCATGATCAGAGGCATTGGGGACCCGCTGGTGTCGGTGTACGCCCGGGCGTACCTGTGTCGGGTAGGCTGTGTGCACACCTGTGGCTGCTCCTGTCTCCCACACCTTTCCTGGCCTCCTCTTCCCCACTGCCTCAGAAGGCAATGAGAGAGGACTTTCCAGACAGCCAGTTGTAAGACCCACCCTTTCCATAGAAAGTAGGTTCAGAATTTCTTTGAAAAGTTACTTTAGAAGTAGACCAGCGTACCATAAATCATCCTCATTAGGGGATGTTTAAGATCACCTTCAAACAAAGGAGCTGATTTTTCAAAATGATTTCTCAGTTCTTGCTGGGAAGAAAGGTCCTAGGCCTTCCAGACCACAGGTTGCTCTTCACTGACCCAAGCCAATGCTGCCCCTTTGTCTCGGACTTGATAGTTTTTGTTCTGTTTCTTTGCTTGTGAAAGAGCTGGCTCAGAGCATGAGTTGGTAAGGCCACTGGCAGGGAGCCATGTCCGCTGGGATAGCCGTCTCATGGTGAGGTGGACCAGATGGGAATCAAGTGGCCTTTCTGTCCCGTAAAGCTCCCCGCTCTGACCGGGGGCCAAGTGTGAACGTCTGGGTGGGTTTTCCACTCGGGAACATCAAGTGTGTTTCCCAGGGCTTATCAAGTGTCCAGACAAGCAAGCCCATCCCAGGGAGGGCAGTGACTGCAGTACATCTCATGGCATGGCTTCCCATAGTTGAGTAGTTACCTAGTCTCCTGACTGACTCCTGCGTAAGAAGATTAAGAGATAGTCCACATTACAAAAGACGCTTTCAAGTGGCAAAAAGCTAGATCGTGTTACTTGAAGTACTAGAGATTTGATGAATTGTGTGTCTGGAGATGGCAGGTAGTGGAGTTCATGGCTGGGTGTAGGGCCCCTAGGCGCACTGTCAGGAATTGGTTTTCTTCTGGGTTAACTTCATTCTTTGGCTTGCGCTTTATATATGGAAGCCCACAGCAGCTCTGGGCTTCCATCCTGCCAGCTTTAGGAACCCTTTGCAAAGGGTACCTTTTCCTGGTAGATCCAGCTAATCCTAGGGCTGATGCTCCGTGGACCACTTAGGTCACTTGTTCATCTCTAGACCAGTCGCTGTGGCCACAGCATGGTCACGTGCTTGCTGACAGAGCCTGGTCACGTGCCCATTCCTGGAACTCAGTGTGGGTGGGTCCAGCTCCAACACAGACCTCACAGTCCCCAGAGACTCTCCATCTTACCCACAGTAGAAGCAGAGGGTATGAATATCAGGCAGGCTGAACTGTCAGGGGGACATCAGGACCAGCTCCCCTTGCTACTCTGGAAAGAACTCTTTTAGACAAAAGCAGATTTCCAAGATGCTCTTTTGGCTTGGTGGGAAGAGATAAACAAGAAACAAAAGCAGTGAGTGGGTGGGGTGTGGGCGAGCTTGCGGCTGTTTATTAAGGGAAAGTATGACTCACTCTTCTTCTTAGCCATGACCCTTTCAGCTCATCGCCCGCTGCTCGTTGACTGGGCAGCCTTTGCTGTCACTAACAGATAATTATGGCCTTTTCTACAATATGATTAAGTAGAAGGAACGATAATAGAGTCAGAATGCAGTAGAGCTGGATCTGACATTGGTTGGTATTTTTTAAAATCTGTGTGCTCGTGCTCGGAAATAGCCCTTCCTGCCTCTAACAGCCGTCAACCTGTTCCTGAAGTGTAACCTTCTGGTGCTTTTCACATCACCCCTCCCGGAGGAATGGTGCCCAGCCATTCAAAGGCATCACTGTTGCTGACCCTCATGACCTCTGGGGAGGGAGAGGTGAGAGGAGAAAACCGTTCCTCTTAAAAAACACTGGTTCCCAAAGAGCAGCTTCCCTTGGGACTTTTTGTTTGATTGTTTGTTTTGTTGTTGTTGTTGTTGTTTTGTTTTGTTTTGGTACTGGGGATCGAACTCAGGTCCTTGTGCTTGCGAGGAAGGCCACCGAACCACTGAGCTAAATCCCTGGCCTGTTGTTGTTGTTAAGCAGCAGTTTGGAATTGCGGCTCAACTGAGGAGCTCAGTTTCAGGAATATTCCGATGTTTGGGTTTGGTTTTGTTTTAAATACATGCGCATACTCATATTTGTACTTGCCTCTCCAGCCTAGTGCTTGCCTACCTTCTAGACGATTGCCAGATTTCTTTAGCTAGAAATGTTGTGATTGCATTTTAAATACTGAATTCAGGAGCTAATACACTATACAGTGTTATAAATACCTCTATGCTTCACCTATATGAAATTGCTTAAAATATATTGAAATGTATGTCTCTTTCCGTAATCGCCTAGTGAGCAATGAAATCTGTACCATTTTTAACAGTGCTGTAAGTGGCAGCACAGCACCTGAAATCCAAGCCGATCCTCTGACATTTTCTGGTGAAGGGAGGTGCTGGGGACTGGACCCTCGGTCTCATGCACGCTAAGCTCTACCTCTGTGTGCTGTAGCTCTGAGCTGCACCCCAGTCCTTAGCGTAACCTTTTTTTTCTTTGTCTAATAAGCACAATCACATGCACGTTGGTCGTTTTATTTTCTCAAGAGGAAGAGAGCTTCGTGTACACCGTCTTGGGTGTACATTCCTCCTTAGTGCTGCATTGATTTGTTCTCTTGGTCATCTGTGCAGAAATCCATTCATTACCTTTGGGAAATTACAAAGATGATTACTGCAGTTGTTTCCCTTTTTCATTAAAAGTAGCTTCTATGGTTTTTCTGGAGAGCACAATACATATTTATTGAATAGGAAAACATGACAGAAAGAATAAACGATAACGTTCTGGACTTCTGTATGTCTCTACATACGTAAGTATGTACGTGTATATTTTTAAGTTTACACAAATACTTCAGTATGTACATCCTGTTTGCAGCGTGTTCCTGCAAAGTAATCTCATTTCATTTGACTGCAGGTGGGAATGGAAGTGGCTCCACACCTCAAAGAAAGCCTGAATAAGAACTTCTTTGACTTTCTCCTTACATTTAAACAGGTATGAGGACACTGACAGAACAGCTCGTGGAAATAACAGCTATGCAATAGGCGAATTCACAAAACCCAGTGGATTTTTCCAAGTTGAGAATGCCTTAAAGCCCTTTCAGTGTACAAACCCTAGAGAATGACACTAGCGTCTGTTGTGGGCCATTAAAATGTGTTGATTATTCTGAACAAACAGAGAAAATTAATATGCATGTGTGAACAGCAAGCGTCTCTATACTTGATCAGCTTTTCTTCCTGGCATCTGCTGACTCCATTTTTATCAGATTATTTCTTGCCACAGAGCGTGTTCCCAGAACAGCTCAGCTTGGTGACATGGGAAATTTTTGGTGGGGATTATTTTTTGGCAGTTTCAAAAGAAAGACAGATAGATAGACAGACAGACAACTGAGAAGCTGGGCAGTCTGTTGGGGCCATCAATGCGCCTCCAGGACTGTCTGGTCTGAGAGACATGTACTAGTTGCTTGGTATGCAGTTCCCCTCCTCTGAGTGTCTTCTAATCTCCACAGATCCATGGGGATACGGTACAGAACCAGCTGGTGGTCCAGGGAGTGGAGCTCCCGTCCTATCTGCCCCTGTACTCACCTGCCATGGACTGGATCTTCCAGTGCATCTCCTACCATGCCCCCGAGGTAACTGTCTGGGGAGTGCAGGGCCCCGTATTGTCTGTGGTGTGGCAGCCTTGTACTATGTGCCTGTGATGTGAACAGGGCCTTTGCAGTGTGCTGTGTCCGGTGGCTGGCTCTGTGCTAGGCCCTTTTCCTAGACCGTCTCGTGTAATGAGTAGGAAGAGGAGGCGCTGTCTCAGACAGGCCAAATCCTACATCAGGTCACACAGCTAGGAAGTAGAGACTGGATACAAACTCACAGAATCTGACTCCAGGGCCAGTGAGCTTTATCGCCTCTATACTTAACCTGCATAATGCCGCTTCTCTGTTTATCATAATTCAATAATTCTCCCATTTCACACGAAAGTAAAACTACTTAATTGCTTTCCTAAGATTCCCTCCCTCACTCCTTCCCTTTCTTCCTTTCGTTCTTGCTAGTTGTTCTTTGGTGAGGAATTAAAGTGGCATCAGAATCATAGCAGAAAGTCCCTTCTTTTCTTCTCTGCCCTTGAGAGGCAGTTTCAGTAGGCTGCCAGCCCAGGTTGTCATCAGACTCATGATGGATGAAGTTTTCTTTTCTCTTCTCTTTGGTGATTGAAAAGAAGAGAGACTTGCTGCAAAACAAGAATGCATAGAGCAAAGCAAACTCATATCTGCCTGTATCCCATTTGCTGCCAATGTGTCAGAAGCCCTTCAGGAGGAAGAGAAGTTGTGGCTTTGACTCAGCAATCCCACTGCCAAGCATTGTCCTGTAGAAATAAGTAGATGATCAGGAAAACATAGGCGCATGTGCATTTGGTCATGGTGGTGCAGCCCTGGAGTAGCTCGCAGGGAGGGGACTGGTTCAGTTGTGGGGTATGCATTCAATGCAGAGTTCTGGGGCCTTTGAACGGTGGGACCAGGAGCATCTGTCTGTGCTGACATCAAAGTGTTGCTGAGTGGAACACAGTGGCCCCACACAGTGCTGAGACTGTGCTGAAGATGGTAGAAAACGGCCAGTATGTTTGCAGGGCAAGTCTTCCCTTTACATTGGGATTCAGCAAGTGAGGAGCCTGAGTCCAAACTCAGTTCTGTGATATTAGTAGTGGTAAGATGGAAGCCAGCGGATCAGCCCCTGACTTTCTTTCCTCTCCTGTGAGATGGGAACGATGCTAACAATTCCATTTTCTGCTCTGTGGTAAAGATCGAAGGAGACAGTGCTTTCAGGGTGGTAGCCCTCACAGAGTAAGATTTTATATCGGCGTGAGAGCTGGGAAGGGAATGTGACAAAAATCACTGGAGGGTGAGAGTTGGGCCATCTTGGTTTTCTTTCTCCATCTGTTTTCTAACTTTTCAGCACATAGGCACTGCATTTATTTTTATTTTTGCAACTTCTGAAGTATGAGAGGGAAAAATAGGGACATCTTGTAACTTAGATGAATTTTTTTTAAACCATTAAACAAATTGATTTTAAATGAATCCAGTGGAAAGGGAAGCAGTTAGTTGCTTTGAAAATTGCTGCGCATTCCCTATGATCTTTAGCATAGTCTCAGGAACTGCATGCTGTCCCTGGCGCTGGGCAGAGGCGCATGAAGAGGGGTGGAGGGAAAGCTGCCCTCACCATCCTGCTGCGTGACTGGTACCTTCACACAAGCGGGACTGACATGTTGAAAATGAGAACGCTTATTTTTCCCCCTTATTTTAAGGAAACGCAAAATCAGATTTAAAACCCAAAGTACATGTCGTAGGCATCTTTCGTTTTATTTTAAGTACCAGGAATCTCAGAGGACAGCAGAAGCTGGGAATAGAGCTTTCTCGGGGAGTACAGCTCTAGGAAGTCATCACTGCAGTAGGAGAAGTGATTAAAAAATTAGGTCACCTGAATAATAATAAACTCTAGTTCTTGGGGGCACTTAAATATGGGACTTGCAGTGTCTTGTTAAGAAATGAATCATTTTCAAAATGCAAAAGAATCGATGTGAGTATAGAAAGTGTTGTTCAAACTACATAGGACAGTTTGGTGCTAACCACTGGGACGCCAGCTCTTCCGATTTGTCCCAGGAGTACAGCTGTCGTTTTCAGAGGCCACGCCTCCAAATTAGGGGACTGTAAAGTTTGGCTGCAGCAATTGGTACACGGGGCAGGCAGGTGAAAGGGGGAAAGGAGACAAAACTTTAGCTGTGACTGTCTGGTGTATGAAATGTCACAGTGAAATTCAAAATTTGAAAAGTCAGAGAGTGATTACTCAAGACTTCTGTTGTCATTGTTGGAACACCGAATTTTTTACCCTCATACAACTGAAATAAGATGACAGGCACATTCTGCCCAGAAAGAAAAAAAGCAACTATTTTATAAAACGTTTTTTAAGTCAGTGAAACAGATCCGATGCTAAGCTGTTTACCTTTGTTATGCAGCAGCTGTTTATCTGTGGGGCAGGGGATTAGGTGGTGTAGAAGGAAAACAGTTCCCGCATCCCTTGCTGGTTGGAAATGTTGAGGAGAAGAGGAAGGCGAATCAGCCCAGGCTGGCAGAGCAGTAGCCAGGCCTGTGTGCTTTGGCCTCTTGCCTCCCTGTCCCTCAGTTTTACAACTACAAAATGGGCTAATACACTGGGTGTAGTGGTGCAAACCTGTAATTCCAGCACTTAGGAGGCAGAGGCAGGAGGATTGCCATGAGTTTAAGGCCAGCCTGGACTACATAGTGAGACCCTATCTCAAAAAAACAAAAAACAAACAAACAAAAGGGGCTAATGAAGAGCCTTCCCTAAGGGCCCTTGTGAGAGTGACCGTGATACCACACATCAGTGGGGTGACCACCACTGTTAAAGGCTGTCCTGACAGGCCTCATGGAAGCAGATGGGGGTCTGGGCTGGCCTGAAGGCAGGGGAAGGGACCTCTAGAAACGGGAAGACATGATAGGGACCAGCACTGCTGGACAGGAGTGAGAAACTAGGCTAAGGGGGAGTGGACTGCACTGTGCTGGCCCAGGCTGCAGAGGGGGCTGAACGCAGGGAGCTCTTGATAAGTTTGATCAGAAGAATGATGTGAAAAAGCAGCACTTTGAAGTTCCAACTAGCACAAGTATATCAGAGGGACTGGGAGAGGAAAAGCAGTTGGTAATTGGACAAAAACAGGAGGTGGAATGGATAAGAGAATTTCATAATCAGAGAAAATATATTAGTAAAGGTGGCCCATGCCTGTAATCCCAATACTCTGGGAGGCTGAAGCAGGAGGACCACAAGTTTGAGCCCAGCCTGGGCAACTTAATGTCCTAATGAGATCCTGTCTCAACCATAAATTTTAAAAAGGGCTGGTAGCTCAGTGTGAAGGCCTGCTAAAAAAAGAAAAGGAAAGAGTAAAAATATAGAATCCGTGGAAAAGATTTAGAAAAGAAAGGTTGAAAAAAAATAGGCGTCCCTATCAGTGTTAACAGTTTCGGTTTGCTTCCTTCTGATCTAACCCCCGCGCCCCACGTACCTGTGTCTGTAGATGAGAATTTCTCCCTGTGTGGTTTGCACACAGTAACCCGTTAACGCCATTACCCATACTTCACTGGTGCCGAGCATGCTCTGTGGCCACAGTCGTGGCGGGAGATTCGGGAGGGCGTGCCTGTGGGATGGATGTGGAGATAGAGGAAGGAGATGCATCATGTCAGAGCTGAGCCTCCGGGCCCCTCACAATCCTGTCTTTGTTGGGGCTCAGTCTGTGCCGCGCTCTGTGGGAGTGACTTTGTCTGGGTTGTCTTATTCCCCTTCATGGCCTCTCTGGGCCACCTGTTATCCTGCTTTACAGTTGAGGCAGCTGAGGCTTAGGAGCTTGCTCAAGACACACCGCTGGAAAGAGCCAGGCAATGCCCGGCTTTGGGTACTAAGACCAGCACTGGGGCTTTTGTCCCCTCTGAACTTGTCCTCAGTGTCTCTTGTTACTGGCTCTACATGAGATAGGGCTTTAGGGCCTGACAAACTCACTTGTGGAGCTGTCACTCTGGTGGCCTTACTAGAGGTCACTCTTCATGCAGTCTCAAGCATGGTTAGGTCAGTAATGCAAATCTAAGAATAGCCTTGCCGGGCGTGGTGGCGTAGGCCTGTAATCCCAGCATTTGGGAGGCTGAGGCAGGAGGATCTCTGTGAGTTCGAGAACAGCCTGGGCTGCACAATGAGTTCCAGGTCAGTCTCAACTACATAGTGAGACCCTGTCTCAAAAAAACAAAAACAAAAATAAATAAGAATAGCCTTGGCCATGTTAAGTTCCCCTGTAGCCATCAGCGCTGTCCCTCCTGTGCTTTTAAATTAGAAAAACATGCTCAGTGGAAGGGAAATAATAGGAGCAATGATTTTCGCCTTTTATTGCCTGGGGTACAGAATTTTATTTTTATTCACATTGAAATATTTTATTTCTTTGCGTCTTGACCGTATTAACTTTAGATTGGTGGAAAGGATATTAGCTCTTAAGATTCATTTCCGGTTTTGCCATTCTTTATGTTTCTGATTCATTTAGACAAACGAGAAAAAATAAAAAGGAAAAATATATATTTGATTTTTTTATGAAGCAGTATTTGTAAACACTGATTGGAAAGTTATTTTGTAAAAGCAGAAATACAAATTATTGACAGTCTAGATCACATATGTGCTGATCTTGGTTTAGAAAGCAGGCCAGCGGCCATAGAAAGACTGCTTTCTTGTACTTTGAAGTGAATAAATAACACTGATCCTAATGCAGAGATAAGATTAAACATCCATCAGTTAAAGATGGTAGTGGTTGTAAGAATTCACACACACTGATGAAATGTCAGAATTAGAGCCAAGGAGATACTCTTTGCCACCGAGGAGAGAGTGCATGTAGAACAGTCTAGTCAGCCGTATTAGACTATTGTTGATTTCTGCCTTTTTTAATTACAGAGTTATGTGCGATGTCACCACTCATCTAGTGGTAGCTGGGTGATGGATACTCAGGACCTCTCTCTACCATATTTTTTTCAGTTGCTCATGAGTCCATAATGAGTTGAGTATCAGATTTTAGGGCTAGGATATAACTTAGTGGTAGAGCACTGGGCCTAGTGTGTGTGAGGCCCTGGGTTCTATCCCCAACACCACACATACACACACACACACAATACATAAATATTTTAAACATCTATCATTAGGGGCATTTTGAAAACCAGTGTTTTCTCCATGTTATGGACTGCTTAGCCACTAAAAAGACTGAGGTAGATATGTGTACATTAACACAGGAGAAGGGAGAGCCAGCCTAGATTCTTGAGTTAAAAAGCATATTATAGCCCAGTGTGTATAAGATTATCCCGTGTTTGTAAACACAGAACAAAGACCGAAATGGAAGGCACTGAGAGGGGGCGTCCACTCCCTTCTCCCTCCCCGCCCTCCCCTGCCTTCAGTCCCCCTGCCGCCCGTTCCTTCTCCCTCTCCTCCCTTTCCAGCTCTCTGTGCCCCCTTTTCTCTCTTTCTATCCCTTTTCTTTCACAAGCCCGATTAAGCCTCAGGCTTTCACAATAAGATACATTCCTAGCCCTCTTTGTTTTGTTTTCTTTTGTTGTTTTTTGAGACAGGGTCTCACTGTGTGGTTGAGAGTGACCTGGAACTCACTATGTAGCCCAGGCTGGTCTCGAACTCCCAGCGATCCTCCTGCCTCATCCTCCCGAGTGCTGGGATTACAGGCGTGCGCCACCACACCCGGCTCGTTCCTAGCCCTTTTTAAATTGTTTTATTTTGCAGTAGGGTCTCACTGAGTTGCCCAGGGTGGGCTGGAACTCTCGGTCCTCCTGCCTGAGAGTGCTGTTGTTACAGTTACACACACCATCACACCTGGCTCACATCTTTTGTGATGCCTGTCAAGTATGCATTGAATTTTTGTGTTTAACCATTTATTGTTTTTGTAACTTTTAGGAAAAGAGTGAAATGTTATTAAGTAATGAAATATGGAGAAGTAACAAAAGCCAGAACACAAACAAGTACACTAAGGACCTGCTTTATAGGACTCTTCAAGCTCTGACGTGTGTGAAAACTCAATATATTGAGCTGCAGGGTCTGCTTTGAGCTGTTGTTCTTCTTGTTCTTGCCAGAGATAATCAATCTCATTACTTCTCAGAAAGTAATAAAAATAATCTGTAACAGACCTGCCTGGGATCCATAACGTTTGGGTCCCTGCATACTTAGGGACATTCTGATTTATGTGACAACAGAGCCTTCTCCCTTCCAGTTATGTTGCTGGATGCATTTTTAATGCATTTCTGTGTGTGAAAATGAGAGCTTTTTAAACATATACCTCATCTTTTTAGATCTAATGTTTCCTGGGGCTGTGGGGAAGAGCGACTGAGAAAAGGAAAGTCAGGCCCCTGTCCGGGCACCTAGGGCCTGTGCGTCTCAGAGTCAGGGCTCAGTGCCCAGGCCGCTGGCCTTAGCTCCCCTGTCTCAGGCTCAGCCTTGTCTGTGCCACTCAAAACCTTCCCCAAACTACCGCCCCAAAGGATGCTCCACAGATTGATTTTTGTTTTAAAACAGGGCTGTTTCGAAGATATGTAGTTGTCTTAAGATAACTGTGAAGCCTTTAACATTGTGTCCGTGAGTAACCCATTTACGTCCTTCAGAGAGAGAACTGTGCTGGAGAACGGAAAGAAAGTAAATGTGGCGCCGAGCCTGGCCTTCCATGCTGGCCCACTCGATTCATGTTTGGCCGCCGTTGCTGGCTGTGTGACCTTGGGCACGTTGCTAGCCCTGTTCTGTAGCTCAGTGTCGTCTGTGAAATGGGGGAATAAAGCACCTGCTCATGGGTGACCCCGAGAGGGGAGGCCATGGCCAAGAGGGCCACGTGCTTCTCTGCATGACTCTCAGTCGCTAAGCCCAGCGTTTGTTGATACCTCCTTGGGAAATGAGTGGGAAATGAGCTGTTTTAGGCCTCTGTGAGGACAAGGAGACCCTGGCGCAGCACAGTTGGTGCCTTGCCAAGGTCTTGCCACTGGTAGCTGGTATGGCTGGACTTGAACGCAGGCCCTAGCTCTTATCCATTCTACCAAATGCCACTAAGGTGAGTTTTTTCCCCTCTCTGCCCTCCCTATCCCTACCAGGGATTATACAAGTGGGCAGGTGGCTGCATTTATTTTAGAATTTGTACTTTGGAAGTCTCTGAGAAATGTTGCTTTAAATGCTCCAATGTGATGCTTTTTAAAAATTGAATTTCTTAGGTTTTGTTGACAGAGATGATGGAAAGATGTAAGAAACTAGGAAACAAGTAAGTACTTTAAAATTCATAAAACATGGCTTTGAAATTAAAATCAGTTGCTCTTTTTTGAGGTTGGCCTGCTAATGGGGTGACAGTGGGTAGCATGCAGCTGTAGAATGCTGGAGTGGAAGTCTGGCCTCAGATCTCAGCTCCATTACTCCTTAGCTTTGTGACCTCCCTGTGTCTCAGTGTTCCTATCTATAAAATGGGATATTTGTCCTTTTCCCCGTGAGACTGTTGGTAAGTGGTAGGACCGGGAAGAACCTGATCTTCCTCTCTCCAGGATATCTGAGGTTCCCTCTGCTGTCATGGTGGTAGAGGGGTAAGCAGCCTTGAGTGGCTCTGGTTCACCCCTGTGTCCCAAGTGTCTGGAACTTAAGATATCTTTCATAAGAAATCCCTTTTGAAAGAGATGTGGATATGTATTTGCAGCACGGATCAATATTGTTATTTAATGTTTAGTTTTAGTAGTACACCAGCCTCTTTGAAGGGTCACTTCTGTTTAAACAGATTGGGTTGCTTATTACCCGCTGTCTCTCCTTCTCCCTACCCATCCAGTTACATCCGTGTTTTTCAAGTTCCAGATATTCACAGAACACTGTGTTAGTTTCTAGAGATTGCCCCTTTTACGTGGTGTGTTTTCCCCAACCTTCACTTAGAAGACTCTAAGTTACCCTTCCCGGCAGTGTATATCTTCACATTAAAGCGACGCATGAAGGGGAGGCTGGACTAATGTGTGAGCCTTTGTGTCTTGCAGCGCCTTGCTGTTGAATTCTGTGATGTCAGCCTTCCGGGCTGAGTTTGTGGCCACTAGGTCCATGGACTTCATCAGCATGATTAAAGAATGTGACGAGTCTGGTTTCCCCAAGGTAGGTTCTTGACTTTTGATGCAATGTGGGAGAACAAATACGCAGTGTCCACCTCAGGGGAAACAGTTTGAGGCTGGGCTGATGGGAGACAGGCCAAAGCTCTGTTCCTGTAAAACTCAGGGGAAGATAAGCTAGAGATTGGATTTGTTAACACCACATAATTGCCTTGAATCAGGTCCTGTGAATACTAAATGTGTCGCATCAGCTCCCTATAAAGTACTGAGGAAAGACTTTGGTTGTACATCTCTGAAAGTGTGTCTTCATTCATTAGGAAAAGCTTTGCCCAGCAGGCTGTCATAGCTTGCAAATTGGACTGATACTTGGAGCAAACTCTTCGCTTTGAGCTTTTTAGTGTAACTCAGATAGAATGTAGTGAACTTCTGAAAGAAGTCTTCAGAGGATTTTATTCTGAGACAGGTGAAATGTGAGGACCTTTTTGCTTAAACTCAAGTCACTTTGATTTAAAATCTCCAGTAATAGGATTTGATATTTTTTTTAGCATCTCCTTTTTCGCTCACTTGGCTTAAACTTGGCCTTGGCTGATCCACCTGAGAGTGATCGACTCCAGATTCTCAACGAAGCTTGGAAAGTCATTACTAAATTGAAGAATCCACAGGTGAGTGACCATTTAGACCTTACATCAACTGTTGTTTAAGTTGTACAGCATATGCTTTCTTTTTGGAAAATGTTCTTTTAACTAATCACACTTGTGGTTTTTAAAAAAAGAAATCCTTATTGTATTCTTTGTTAACCCATAGTACAAGACCAATGGTATTAAGAGTGTGCTTTTTTTTTTTTTTCTTTTGTGGAACTGGGTATTGAATCAAGGGATTACTGAGTTATATCACCACCTTTTTCATGTGATTGTTTTAATTTTGACATAGGGTCTTGCAATATTTCCCAGGCTACACTGAAACTTGTAATCATCCTGCCTTGACTTCCCAAGTAGCTGGGATGACTGGCATGCCCCGCTTGTGCCTTGCTAGTTGATTTTTTTATATAATAATTATGATCCATTGTGAGGCGGTAAGATGCATGGAAAGTATAAAATTATAAACATGTAAAACTTGAAACACCTGTGACTATACGTACACAGTCTATTTTATTTTGAAAATACAAATCAAGCGGGATATTCCTGAATTGAAGATGAGCATTCGAGCCAATAATGAGCAACAGGAATTCCAGATTCTGGTCTTTGAGCAGGGCCCCTCGGAGCCTTATCCAAGTGCAGGTGTAGGAAGTCAGGGTGATGGACCAACTGATGTCAGTTGCTGTACTGCTTGTGGCAACGCCCATCAAGTTGTAGGTTGGGTTTCATAGCTAACTCTCTTGTTAGGATCCCGCCAGCCACTGGAGTGCTGGTAGGAAAGCATGATATTGGCTTTTTTTGTGGTACCAGGGATCAAACTCAGGTCCTTGCCCTTACAAGGTGGGCAAGGTGCCACTGAGCTAAATCTCCGGCCTCTTGTACTGGCTGTCCTCATGGCTGCAGCAACTGGAATAACACACACCCTGCACTTTCCCCCTCCCATTGGCAGGGCCTGAGTACGGATCAGCAGCCTTGGAGGTGGGCAGTTATCCAGATGGAAAGGCAAAGGAAGCGCAGTCACTGCATTACTGAAGCATGTTGAGAATAGTGTTAGAACATAAAATCTAGAAACTTATTTGCAGAATTGTCTACAGGGAGGTCCTTTAGCAAATCACCACTGAACAGTGATAAATTCTCTGTTTAACTCAGTCTGGCCAGCTGTAAAGTCTTATTCCAAGGGTCAGGGCATCTCAGTATAGGACTCAAGCTCACAACAATATAATGTATGCTTGAGAGTTGCCAAGAGACAAGATCTGGAATGTTCTCATCACGGAGTGCTGGGTGTGTGAGGTCATGCAGATCTGGGCAGGCTGGGGTTAGCTATCCTACAACGTGTGCGTATTTCAGCCAACCTGTTACATACCATGAATATGTACAATTTTTATTTGTCAAAAAGAGAAAAAAGAAAGTAAGAAAGCCTTGCTGTTTTTTCAGGATCTTGCAACCTTCTGGGCTGATCGTGGGTGTACTGTGTTTCAAAGCCGCCTGTGTTACAGGCCTGGGTTAATAGTCTTCTCTAATCTGAATCTTCATGCTCCTGTCCTTAAGTTTATTGTCTTAGCATTTCCGTTGACCCGAGGCTGTTCCTGTGCAGGTGAGGGGCCTCTTTCCCCTTAGATGCAAGCCGAACATTCCAGGACACCCAGAGGGCCCTGAAACCTGGAAGACCACCAGATTCTTTGTGCTATTTTCTCTGTACATGCATAGCTATGCTAAAGGTGGATTTATAAATTAGACCCAGCAAGAGATTAAACAGAACAGTTATAACAATATATTGTAGTGAGAATTAAGTCGAATGCATGAATTATTTCTGGAATTTTCTATTTAATATTTTTGGACCAGAGTTTGACAGTGGGTAAACTGACGCCACTACTCTTCTCTCCTCATTCCTCTTACTTTGCATTAAAGTATCAGAATTGAAGAGGTGCACTTACAGACCGCATTCTTCCCCGAACGCTTTTTTCCCTCTGGGATGTTTTCCCGGGCAGGCTGCCTGACTCAATTGGTCATTTCCGTCTCGGTTACATTCTCTCTCCATGGGCCCCCTTCCTGTGCGACTCTAACTTGTAACTTCTTACCTAAAAATCCTTAGTGCTTCATAGCCTTTTTATGAGATACATACATCACCCCTGTAGAGGACAAACACTTTATTCCTTTAAAAGTTGGCAAGCTTGTTTCGGTTTTTTTTTTTTTTTT